AAAAGAAAACTAGGAAAAATAACATGTTTTCTTTGCTTCTTGGGAGCCAAACTACCACGAACAACTTGTGATTTTGTTCCCATGGTGAATGGGTCTGGGAGTGAGCTGAGTTGCCCTTGTACTTTAGGTTTCATTATCAGAGATGTAACCAGTCAGATGAGAACTAGGCAAACTGCCTGTAGCCAGTGTAAGTACACTGTGGCCAGGAGTCCAGCCTAGTGTAGCAAATACTCCTGCCTTGGCTCCAGAGGACAGCATCGTTAGCAGAAAATGAAGGGAGTGTGTTGTGTGGGGCAAAGGTAAGTGCCCTCAAAATCCTGAGGCCTGCGCTGACTGTGTGTAGGAAGCCCAGGCCAGTGATAAGCAGGGGAGACTAGGACAGAGCCAGGTCCAGAGTGGAAAAGACCCTTAAGGTTGAGGGAATGCTAGGAAGAAAATTCATAGTCTGTTCCGACATTAATCCTGTCGGTAGGTTCAAACTCTGAACTACTTTTTAAGTCACAGGAATCGGGGCATGCAGCAGCATGTGCTGTCTGTATTTTCACATGTAGGGGCTCCAAGGGCTGGAGGTACTTGGTACCTCTCTTCTTCACACCCCACAATGCCTGGTCAGCAACCTGGACCTCAGCTCATCTTGTTTTTGATCTTGCTTTTTTATTACCAGGTCACCCCTCTAAATTTCTCAGTGTCACAAGTGCCCAACATGCCCAGCTGTCCCCAGGCCTATTTGGAACTGCAGGCACTGTCTCCGAGTGAGCGGCAATGTGTAGAGACAGTAGTCAACATGGGCTACTCATATGATTGTGTCCTGAGAGCCATGAAGAAGAAAGGAGAGAATATTGAGCAGGTAGGTGCTAGTATGCAAGGTGTGGGTGGTGGAGCATGGTGGCCTCAAGTCACGGTTGTGATCTGCCTGCCTGTCCTAGAGTGCTTGCAATTTCAGCCTCCTCCCCTGGGCTGTTGTCAGGGAAGCAGCTGAGGCTGGAATTGGACTCAGGGCCCTTCGTCTCCACCATCTAAGTGCTAGCATATAGGTGTGGTCTACTGTTCCCATCTTGCCTCCAGAAACTTTTGTCATGGCTGTACAGGAAGTTATGAATAGTGTGCTATAGTCTTCTACTTTGGGGACATTTTTCTGACATAAGTGTATAATTTTAGAGGACTGTCATCCTGCCCTGAGTGTTGACATTCTGGGAGTTGGGTCAGCTGTGACAGCACCTCCTTTGGGAAGTGGCTGCTCATTTCTAGAGGGGTGTGCCAGTCTGTTTACCAAGTAATGACTGCCCAGGATCTGATGACTGGGGAGGGGCAGGGAGCTGAATTCACAGATGGTGTAGAACTCCCAGCATAGGAGTAGCAGTAGGAGCTCAAACTTTTATTTCTTTTCTTAGATTCTCGACTATCTCTTTGCACATGGACAGCTCTGTGAGAAGGGCTTTGACCCTCTTTTAGTGGAGGAGGCTCTGGAAATGCACCAGTGTTCAGAAGAGAAGGTAGGAACCTTTACCATTCCTGGGACAGAGCTGTCTGTCCTCTTGCTCACCCTGGGCCCTCCATCACCTTTCCTTACCAGGGACTGCAGGCAGAAACAGTCTTGTGCCCAGACAAGATGGGTCCTTCTATACTATAGATGAAGCATGGAGCTGACTCACAGTGATAGGAAGGGAAAATTGAGTTGGGCTAAAAGCCAGGCTTTTGGATGGCTTGGGCCACTGCTAGCATTTTTGCCTTCCTCTCCACCTAAAGGGCAACTTTTAGGGGTTCAGTACTGTCTTGGTGGGTATATTCACGTGGGGCAGTGGGAGTATTTCAGAGATCAGCAAGTGAGTTGGGGTTGGGCTCCACAGCCCACCTCTGGTGAACTTTAGAAAGATCTGCAAGACTCTGAGGGATACAGGTCCTCCTTCTACCGGATGCCTCTACATTCAGCTGCACTCTGTGGCTGGACCCTTTTTAAAAATGTGTTCCTCTTTATCCCATAGATGATGGAGTTTCTTCAGTTGATGAGCAAGTTTAAGGAAATGGGCTTTGAACTGAAAGACATTAAGGAAGTTTTGCTATTACACAACAACAACCAGGACAATGCTTTGGAAGACCTCATGGCCCGGGCTGGAGCCAGCTGAGACCAGGCCCTGCCATGGCCCTGCCACAGCACCACCATTCCCCAGGAGGCCCCGCACAGCTCACTCGTGGGCAAGAAGGGACATGCTTCCAGATTTTCATTGGGGATTAGGTCAGATGTGGAGATGACATTTGCTAGTCTCTGAGCCCAGGCCCAAGCTGGGGGAAAGTAGGAAGACTTGGGCATATAAATGCCCTGTTGGCTCCTTCAATATTAAACATATCTGTATTTTGAGAAGTGTCCTTCCCACATTGGCCTGTCAGAAAGAACACTTGGATCTTTCTGGGGTCTCTTATTTCCTCATCCAAAACCTGGCCTGGTTCCCAAGAGGAGTGGGAAGCAGAGGAAGGGCATACTGCTGTTTGGGGGCTGGATGCTTTCCTCTCTGCCACACCACAGGCAGACTGAACTCCAACCCGAGTTGAATACAAGCGAGAGGTTCTTCCAGGGGCCCACCTTCCCCAGCAGTCCTTAGTGTTACACTGGTTCTGGAATGTCTCTGCGGTACAAAAGATGCACTTTTCCTCATGGGACAAGGTCTTTTGCTAGGCCGTTCCCATGTGTCCCTGTCCAGACTGTTTCTTGTGGATTAAACATAATCCTCTACTGCCCAGGGCATCGGAGCCCCTGTGCTAGGAAGCTGTTGGCAGTTTGAATAATCATTGACCCCTTCTCAGCTCACTGAGAAAACAGGCCACGACTAGTCACTCAGCACTAACCCAGTTCTTAAACAGCCTCCTCCAGCCCTGCTTTAGGACGACACGAGTAACACCTAGGCATAGAAACCACTCTTGGGTTTGTTTGTATTATGTTCTACACCATTAAAGATATAATACAGTCTTGAATCTAAAATAATTTGCTAACTATTTTGATTCTTCAGAGAACTACTAATAAAAACCTAAAAGGTACGTTGTGCTGCCTTAATGTCTTTATTTCAAAAAACAGCTTGAGTTAGGATGGCTGTAGGTGGCAGAATCATTTCTGGCCCACATTTCAGTACACTCTTCCCGCTGGAGGCCTGAGGGACCTGAAGCTGGCCATACCTTCTGGACCATGTCTTCTCTGGTTTTTTGGTATACAAATAGAGACTCAAACAAAGATCTCTTTAAACCTGATCTAGTGCAGTCTCTGGACCAAGGGTATATGTCTTCTTGCCAAAGTGGAAGGGCAGACGAGGCTTCAAGGTGCTCTTTAAAAAGTCCTGCTTGGGAGTACTTGGGAGGCAGAGACAGGTGAATCTCTGAGTTTGAGCCCCTGAGCTACAGAGTGAGTTCCAGGACAGGCAGAGAGCGTGCTTCCACAGCTCTCGGTGGCGCTGGTGGAGCCGACAGAACTCCCTAGAGTTTCTAGTTCTTTAGTAAAATCCCACATCCTTTTGGGGCACTTGCTGGGAATGGTTTTTAGTGGCAATGTGAGGAGCTGTACAGTTATAAGCTAGGAATCGGCTGCCCTCTGGTGGCTATGGCTAGTTCAAGCACTGCCTGTGGCCCACTAGAGAGCCTTTCAGCCCTTCTGAATGCCTTTTAAATAGAGCCAGATCTCACTGTAGCCCAGGTTGGTTTCAAGGTCCTCCTGCCTCAGCCTCCCAGATGCTGAATTTTCAAGTGAGCAATGCCATATCTGGTTTATCTTGGCCTTTTAGACATAACTCTTAAAACTTCCTTATGTTGTTAAATTCATGTGGTAGTGGCTTCTGGGCCCAGCCTCTGACACATGACTCTCAGGTGAACTCCAAAACTAACAGACTCTTGGAGGCTCTTTGTTTTCCTTGAGGGCCTTTCTGTTAAAAAGGTGACAGAGGAGATGGTTCGTTAATAAAGTGCTTAAGGTGCAAGCATGAGGTTGGATCTCTAGCACCCACGCAGGAGGCCTGGAGCAGCTGGGAGTATTGGTGCATACCTTTAATCCCAGCACTTGGGGGGCAGAGGCAGGGGATCTCTGTGAGTTGGTCCACATAGAGAGCTCCAAGACAGGAGGACCCATGAAACTTGGCTAATTAGCTAAATCAACAGTGAAACAGCAGAGGATTGTGGGTACCTAATAACATCTGGCCTACACATAGTAATAACAGCAATAATTCATTTAAAGAGCACAGTATGTTTGTTCCTGTATCAGAAGGTTCAGACTATTGACTACACACTCAGTGCCAAGACACCCATAGCAAAGGTCCTAAAGTATGGCTGGCCCGGGTGTCCTGGAAGAGTCAAGCCTAGGCAATGGACTTGCCTGAGACACTCAGAGGATTGGGAGTGAGGAGTCATAGGCAGGAGCTAGGTTCTGCCACAGAAACTTAGGAGGGCTAGCAGGAACTATCCATAAGCCTGCTGTTTTAGCAAAAAGTGAATGAATTTTTCTCATCACTGCCGCCATCAGCAGCATCCTCTAAGTCAAAGCAGGGTTTCAGGGAGGGGCACTGTAAGCATAAAGCCTAACCCCCAGCCCAGCTGTACCCTTAAGGCATCAATAGTTGCCAGTTTATATTTTCCAGAACTACGTCTCCACTCTGGTGGGGAGGAAGAAGCTCACCTAAGTGCCTGACAGAAAGGCACGTAAGTCAGGAATAAGGCTGTTGGCTCAGCGTGTGGCCCTAACCTCTGATTTCATCCTCAAACTCAGGGACATGTACAGTTAGACCAAATATGTTCCTACAGACATAGGTCAACAATGAGATACTCTGAGCCCCAAACAGAAGGGGACATGAAGGTCTTAAGCCTGGTCCTTTCTTACAGGGGGTCCTATAGTTGGAACTGAGGTAAGATGAGGTCTGTCCCTGAGTAGTGAGGCCATCCAAGGCCATGTATGGCTAGAGTGAAGTTAGAGGTAGGATAGGGAGTGGCTGTCTGCAGGAAGGCCTTGGCAGAACTTTTTCCAGCTCCAGAGGGCACAGCAATGTCTACCCAGGGTGAGCCCTTCTTCTAAGACAGTATGGTTCTCTTGGGAGCTGCAGCCGACCTATGGCAGGTGAGGTACAACTGGAGCTGGCTTCTCAGACTCTGGATGCACTTAGACTTCAAAGCCATGAGTTCATCCAGCTGGGTCACGAAATCTTCAAAATCCTGAGAAGAAAAAAGACAGTGGAGGTGTTTAATCTTGATGACCCTTCGTCTTTTCCAGTCTATTTTTGTGTGTGTAGTTTTTCTTTTAATGTGTATGAATGTTTTGTCTACATATCATGTTGTACTTGGTGATGTCCGTGGAATTGAGAAGATGACATCCGATCTCCTGCGACTGGAGTTTTGGATGCTGTGAGTTACACTGGGTGCTAGGACCTGGTCCTCTACAAGAGCAATGAGTGAACTGCTGAGCCTTCTCTCCAGCCCCCTAGTCCATCTTCTTGAAGGAACATTTTAAAACCCAAGTCCCTCTTCTCAGAGTAAAACCTTAAAAGTTTCTATGGCTTTGGGTGGGGCTCCCTTCTCTGCATTTGAGACGCTTTATAAATGGAGGCTGTGTTCTGGGCTGTGTTCTGCAAAGGGGTGGTTACAAACAGGGTTTTGCGTCTGCAGGTTGTAAGCAGCAAGCTAGTCACTGCTACAGTAATCACAGGGAGGCACCCCCAGCAAACCTTTAGGAAGGCAGGATGGCTAAGGATAGAGCTTGGAAGAGCAGTGTAGCACCATCTCCCACCTCTACCCAGACCCTCTGAGGGCCATAAGGCCTCAACAGTTAGTACACAACAGCAGAACTTTGTCATGAATACTGCAGCAAACCTGATCCTCAAACCATAAGCTACTTGTCAATAGTACATGTGGCTATTCTACTTACATTAGAATTCATCTGGGTCATTAAGGTCTCCTCCTTGAAGTCCAGCTCAGCCATTTCATCCAGCTGTTCCTGGTGTGCACGGATGATCACCTGCCTAGGAACATGTAGAAGAAACTGACATTTCTGGTTTCCCATACTCAGGGACAGCCTTTGGAAATTGAGTCTCATTTCCATACTAGGAGCCTCTGGCCAGTGTGGTAAGGTCAGCTGGCCACTCCTTGCTTTCTCCTCTGTTCTGTTCTCAGAACTAGTCAAGGGATTATGGAGTACCCATAAGATATAGGAAGTATCTTGTCCCTGCTTCTCAGGGGTTGCCTGTTTCCCATGGCTTCCCTGAGAGAGGTTATCAAGCTGTGACAGCTGGAGTATTTGGTACAAGGTCTGCTCTTATTTCTACTTGGTGGGGGGTGGGGTGGGGGAGGTCCAGGACCAAAGCAGGTCAGGGCTAAAAGCTGAATATCTACCTTTGGTCAGAGAACACAACAGGAGCAGCAACTCTGCTCACTGAAGAAGCAAGCAAACTGGAAAGGGCATGGGATGTTGAAGGGGTTTAAGAACAAAGTCCAACTTACTGTGCCTGCTCCAGTGTAAGTGGACAGAGGGTCCCTGAGGCCTTGAGAGAACTGGGGACCACAGGAGAGTCTGATGCTAAGCACTTTGAGAGTGGCCTGTGCTTGAGCCACAAGATGTCCTCGTAAGAGGGCTTGATGGAATCTGTGGAGGAAACAAGCTCCTGCCGGCTAAACCCTGCAGGATGTTTTCTGTCCTGGGCCCAGGGACCGCCAGCTACATCACTACTTCCTGTCCATGAGGTGAGCAAGGGCGTAGAACAGGGTGCTCCAGCATGTGTGATGGAGCAGGGCTTCCGAGGGAATGACGAGTCCACCAGTCCAGTCTCCTCAGCACTGTCACCGTATGGATCACCACCCACGTGACTCTGGGCCATGAGTACAGGCCTTCTGCTCTGGCAGGCCTCCCCATGGGGCAGTTTGTCAGGTGAGTGCTGACGGATGGGTGATGGGGAAAGAGCTGGAAGATCACCACTAGGTCGATTGTCAGGGGGAGATGAGGACAGCCACAGGAGCGCAGTTGCTGAAGATACTGGCAAAGCAGCCTCTTGATTGTAAGGGGATACTATGTGCTCCACTGCCGGCCCTCCTATGATCTCAGTCGTGAGACTATGCTCAGCTCTGTCTTGGGCAATCTGCTCCAAGGAAGAAGAGTACTCCTGACTGGGGGTCTCCAAGAGGGATATAGTGAGAGGAGCCATGAGTCCAGAAGCATTTGCAGAGCCCTCTCTAGAGTCTTCTTGGGATGGAGCAGTCCTGTCCACTGTTCCTGCTGCCTGAGTCACTCTGTCGTCACTGATGTCTCTTTCATCTGGGGATAGAGGCAAAGACAGCCCGTTTTCTGGGGATGGCAAGCTGCTCTCAGCCTGTCCAGGAACCTCACTTCTGAAGGCCTCAGGTCTAATGTCAGAGGCTTGAGCTCCACCCGTTTCTTGGTGATGCACAAAATCTACCTGTGAGGAGGGTGGCTTCTGGGCCAAGCCATCCTTGGGGGAAGGTCCTGAGGAGGCAGAGTCTTCCTCCTTGCTCCAGTCCGAGCACACCTTACTTGGGCTGTGGCTCTGGCTGAGTGCTCCTCTTCTGTGGCTTATGATGGAGCCTCTGGAACACACCCAGCTGTCAGTTCCTCTCTCATCACCATCCATCTCGGAGCTGAAACGCAAATATTGCTGCCTTTCTGCCCCCTGCTCCTCAGGACTGTGCACCCTGTTCTGATGAAGGAAGAAAGAGCTTCCGCTCTTCTCCAAGGTGCTCCTCTGCATGTGTGAGAAAGAATCCTCACTGAAATCACTGTCGTCCAGGTCCTCAGCCTGGGCTCCATCATGGCTCTCAGGATTAGAGTGGAGGGGAGAAACGGTCTCATTTGGAAGCTGACCTTCGGAGGGCCTATGCTGACATAAAAGCCTTTCTAGTGGCTGGTATTTTAGCTTCTGCTTGAGGAGTGGTGGCTGCTGAAACTGCTGGTGGTAAAATCGCAAATGTTCCTCCCTTTCCTTCTGCTGGGGAAGGGGGTTTGTCCAAGCTTCCGGGGCAAGCCTGGCAGATGTGCCCACTTTGCTGTCCTGACTGGTTTCTAAGTGGTGGTGGTTGCCAGGAAGCTGAGCTCGGGACAGTAGTTGCTTCTGCACTGGCTGCACCGGTTGCACCTTCTTCTCTCTGGCAGGCATCCTGAGACGCAGTAGGCCTTCTCTGGGGCCCGAGGCCCTGCTCTCCCACACAATGGCAGCCTTGCTGCCAACTTGACTTTTCTCAGAGCACAACGATGCTGACTCTTCTGCTCCCTTTTTGATCGAATGGCCAGACCTCATGGTTCCTTTCCAAAGGCTAGGCTTTGCCTCCCACTCTGGGACAGGACTCCCCCTTTTACTGGGGGTTTTAGGTTCAGAGGCAAAGGGGATATTGGGAGCATGGCTGGCCAAAGGGTGGGTTTTAACTCTTGTGGGGCCTGGGGCCACAACAACTGACTGCTGAAGTCCCAGTTTAACTTTTTTGGGGGAGCACTTGTCCCCTGGCAGGGCAATAGGGGAGCTCTGAATTCGTTTTGGAGAGGAGTTTGCAGATGCCCGACTTCGACTGGTGGTTGAAGCACAGCACTTAACACCTTTCTTTAGTTCCTTCACCCTGTAATATAAGCAGTTAACGTTAACTGTATATTCCGTCTGTGAGTCCTTTCCTACAGATCTCAGGGAACTGAAACAACAAAGGGAAGCATGGCAAAGACGGCAAGCTCGCTCTTTAGGAGAGTATTTTATGAAATACTATTTTAACTAGACAAAGATGTGTTATGTTTGTTTATGTGACAGTCTGTGACATTTGTCTGTGCTGCGTTTGTTTAATTATGTACAGATGTGTTGCATTTGTTTCGCCCTGCCTGCCTAAGACACCTGATTGGTTTAAAAAAAAAAAGCTGAACGGCCAATAGCTAGGCAGGAGAGGGACAGGCAGGATTGGCAGACAAGAAGAATAAATATGAGGAGAAATTTAGGCTCAGGAGAGAAAAAGGAGAAGAGAAAGGGAGAAAGAGAGGGAGACACCCAGGGCCAGAAGTCAGGCAGCCGCCAGCTGGTCATCCTTGGAGACAGCAGGAAAGTAAGATATACAGAAAGAAAATAGGTAAAAAGTCCTGAGGCAAAATGCAGATGAAGAGAAACAGGTTAAGTTGTAAAGGCTAACAAGAAATGAGCCTAAACTGAGGTTGAGCATTTGTAACTAATAAGTCTGTGTCATGATTTGGGAGCTGGTTGGTTGGTGGACCAAAAGAAAAAGCCTGGTACAGGAGAAACTAAGAGGAAAAGGTACATTCCCCTTTAATATGTTTCCTACTGTACCTGAACTAAAGGAACAGTGTCTTCTGAGAAGATAAGCATGTCCCCACGTGAGGGACAAGCTAGGAATCAGAATCATGCTATGTTCATGCAGGGCCTATCATGGCTCCTGAGCATAGGCCATAGGAACTCGTGTCTACTCTTTAGCTGGAGTTCTGCAGACAGCACAGTGCTGGGCTTCTCTGAGAAGGTGAATTCCCCTAAATCTGCTGGGCAGTTCAGAAAACAAAACCTAAAGAGCAGCAGACTGTGCTAGTTCCACTAAGGGAAAGATGACATGTATTCTCAGCATCCTCTAACTTAGTACTACTGACACTGACAATCTAACTGGGTAAAATTCTTTATTTTAGAGGCTCTGTGTATTGGAGATGTTTAGTAACATCTGTGGTTTTTACCCACTAGATGCCAGTAGCACCTCTCTCAGTGATGACAATCAACAATGTTCTTACTTCCGGGGGCTGGAGAGATAGCTCAGAGGTAAGAAAACTTGCTGGTTTTGCAGAGGATCTTACAAGTTTGGTCCCCAAAACCCACACGGTAGCTCACAACCCTCTGTAACTCCAGTTTTAGGCAATCTGATGCCTTCTGACTTCTGGTGGAACCAGGAATACATGGAGTGCATCTGTATACATGCACACAGGCAAAACATTTAAACACACACAGACACACAATAATGTAAAACCTTTTTATAACATATCTTTGCTTCTGTAAGAGACTAAGTGTACGTAGAGGTGGGAGGGATGCTGGCAGATGCCAAAGTCCCTTCAGAGAGAAGCCTGCCAAGCAGTTAATGGGTGCTAGCTTTAAAAAGAGCGAGATGGTTCAGTGGGCAAAGGCACTTGCTGTTAAGTCTGACAATCTGAGTTTGACCTGAGACCCATATATGGTAGAGGGTACTGACTACCAGAAGGCATTCTCTGACTTCTATATATCCCCACCCCCACACCTCCTGCAATTTTTCTTAAAGAGGTGCTACCTCTGCCACCAACTTTTAGTAATTCCTTGGGAAGTTCCTCCCCTTCTTTGGGCCTTTATCTTGATTGACAGGTCCAGATTGGTCCTTTCTGGATGTACATGTTCCTACAAACAGCACTGAGATCAGCAGAGAGAAAAGTTTACTCGAGCATACCACACTAGGTTAATATACCATTCCTAGTGGACACTGAGAAGCTACTGATTGCGTCGATTCATGAATGGCACATGTGCCATCTTTCCTTGTCACACCACAAAAGTAGGGTTTATTGATCATATTTTTAAAAATGCTAGTATAGTAGCTCCAGGAAGACAGCTGTGGAGTTCAATGTCAGATCACTTGACATTTTGAGAGGCATGTGCACAAACACAAGTGACCCCCACACACAATCTGACATATTTTTCTTTTCTGGTTTTTCAAGACAGGGTTTAACCGTATAGCCCTTGCTGTCCTCGAACTCACAGAGATCTGCCTGCTTTTGCATCCCAATTACAGGGATTGAAGGCGTGTGCCACCATGTCTGGCACAACTTGACATCCTATAGCCAACTTACCGGTCAGCATAACGCAAGGTATTCAGTGTGTGTTCTGTGGCTATGTGGCTCGGTGAGATGTTGGCGATCATGCAAGTTTTGGCATTGCCAATGAAAGAGTCCTTCAGGACCTGTCAAACCAAGAGACAGGCCAATGAATAATGGGCATATTGATTACTTATGTATGAAGATGCTGGCCATAGCTTTCTCTATTCACAAAAGACATTTTACAAAAGAAATACATTAGATTGGAGAGATGGCTCAGTAGTTAAGAGCACTGGCTGCTCTTGCAGAATCAGGATTCAATTCCCAGCATCCATATGGTGGTTCACAACTATCTATAATATAACTTCAGTTCCAGGGGATCTGAGGTCCTCTTCTGGTCTCTGTAGGCATACATGTGGTGCAGAGCATAGACATATATGGAGGCAAGACATATAAATGAATAAAAAATAAATCTAAAAAAAGAAGGAATAAGAAATGTAAATAACCATAAACAAAGCAAAAGGTACTTACTAGTAATCAGAGAAACACAAATAAACAACTAGAAAAACTAATATTTATGTTGCTGAGGAGACAGCTCAGTGGGTAAGAACCTGCATGAGGACACGAGTTCACATTCCCTCATGTAAAAAGTGAGGTATAGCTGTGAGCACCTACAATCCCAGAACTGCTGAGCAGTGGGCACGGGAGGGTTGATGGAGCTGCTGGCTACCAGCCTTCCTCCAGGTCCAGTGAAAGATCATATCTCACAGGAAAAGGTGGAAAGAAAGTGACAGACCTTGAGGTCTTCAGGCCTCTGACTGTACATGGGTGAAGATACATACAACTAACTCATGTTCATACACAGCCCTGCACACAAATGAATATAAAGGAAAAATAGTTTATAAAGGAAAACCCAGCATTTTAGTACATAAGCTTAAGAAAGTTTGGTGAAAATGTGCCCAAACTTTGAAAAGTTTAAGTGAAAACCTCCCTTACACACTCTGATAGTTAACTTTAATTGTCAACCTGATTAGATTTTAGGGTACCTGTTATCTTTTACTATTTTTTTTCCTAAGTGGCAAAAAGGTCTCCCTAGGTAGCCCTGGCTTGTCTAAAACTCACTACTAGGCTGGCCTCGAATTTACAGAAATCTGTCTGCCTCTGTCTTCTGGGTGCTAGGATTAAAGATGTATGCCACCATGCCTGGCTCTATTCTATATAGATTATTGAGATTATTCTTTTTTAAAAGTAGAATCATGTTTTCTGGGGATAAAAACTTATTTAAAAATAAAAAGTTAAATGTCAGAGTCAGGAATGGTATCCTGAGTTTCTGGTTAAATCGTGTTTGAGCAGAAACACTCAGGGTTGGAAAGATAGCTCAGTGGTTAGGAGTGCTAGGAGTGCTTTGCGCTCTTCCAGGGTCTCAGTCTCAGCACCTATATATTAGGTGTTCAGAACCCTCTGTAATGCAGCTTTAGAGGACCAGATGCCTTCTTCTAGACTCTGCAGGCAACTAAACTCACTCCACTACAACCCCATATGTACCTACACATATACACATAATTGAAAGACAGAAGTCACATTCATTGCAGAGGGCGCTAATTCTGACTACTGAGAGTTCTCATCCGAGGTCTTCCTCCTGCCCTCCTCACACCCAATCTTTCTTCCACTGTGTATAGGACCTAAGGTTGAAAGGAGCTCAAGACAATGTAATGACTTTCACATCTGTCCCTCCCTAGGCTGCTCCTCTGCAGCTCAGAGACCTGGTACCTTTCAGCCATTTTCATGACAACAGAAAGTAAAAGTTTTCTTTATTTGTATTGCTCAGAATACACAGGACTGGGTCTGGTAGTGTGGGCTTGTAATCCTAGATGCTCAGAAGACTGAGGCAGGAGGATACCAAGTTCAAGACTCAGGAACCCTACTAAATAATAAATACAAATACTTTCTCCAGTATTGAGAATTAAACCTAGGGGCATATCAGGCAAGTGCTACCACTGAGCTACCTCTCCCCCTGGCCCCGAATATTCCCCATTGTTTTGTTGGTCAGGGGTGGTGTAGGAGGTCCTTCTGTTTATGTATTGCTTTCATTGGTTGAATAAAGAAACTGCCTTGGCCTTTTGATAGGACAGCAATTAGGTAGGCAGAGTAGACAGAACAGGATTCTGGGAGGAAGAAGGCAGTGTGGCAGATGCCATGAATCTCTTGCCTGAGGTGGACGTAGGTTAGACTCTTGCTGGTAAGCCACAATCAAGTGTGATACATAGATTATTAAAAATGGGTTAAACTAACATGGGAGAGTTAGCCAATAAGAGGCTAGAAATAGTGGGCCAGGCAGTGTTTAAATGAATACAGTTTTCTGTGTGATTATTTCGGGTATAAACTAGCTGGGCGGCCGGAACAAAGGGCCCGCTTCTCTCGGGTGGGGGGTGGGGGAATGCAGCCTGCCACTTAGTGGACAGACAGGATCTCATTATGTTGCCCAGACTGATCTCCACTGTATGGGCTCAAGCAATCCTTCTGCCTCAGTATCTTGAGTAGCTTCAGGAAGATACCACCACCCCTGCAGTAAGGTTTTTTTACACTGGAAGAACATTGAAAGGTGGTATCCTGGTCAGCTTTGTCAACCTGATACAGCAGAGTCATCAGAAAAGGGAGTCTTTTTTTTTTTTGAGACAGGGTTTTTTTTCCTTAACTGCCCTGTCTTGGAACTCACTCTGTAGATCAGGCTGGCCTCGAACTCACAGAGATCCACCTGCCTCTGCCTCCTGAATACTGGGATTAAAGGCATGCACCAGCACTACCAGGCCGAGAAGGGAGTCTTAATGAAGGGATTTCTCAGATGAGATCTGCCTGTGGGTAGGTAGGTGACTTGTGAACTGAGGTAGGAGCAGATACATGAGCTGCACCATTGGGCAGGTGGTCCTGGGTTTATGGAAAACTCACGTAAGCAGAGGTCTGGAAGTGAGCCAGTAAGTGACAATGCTCCATGGTTTCTGGGTTCCTGCAGTGACTCACCTCAGTGGAGAACTGAACCAGACAGAGTATTTTTATCACAGAACAGAATGAAAGTACAGCTGGCGGTAAGAAGAGCATGGGTACCTTCTTAGGACTATAGCTGCCCTGGTGCATATATCTCTGAGGACACTGAGAGCTCCTGGAAGGAAAATGACACCTAAATTCTTTCTCCCCAGTGTGTTTAGCATGTCTTGGTAGTAGTGGATGCTTGACTAAATTAACAAAGTAATGGAGGAAGGAACAATGAGTGAACCAGAATGAACTCACGGCTTTTGTTTCACATTACCTGGGTCAATTTGCTTTGCCTAAAAGGCGTATGGGTGTGTTCCTGGTCCAGTGCTCGAATACATTCCTTCAGCTGTAAAGTGGGAGAATAAAAGACATATCAATATATCAATATGACAAAAAAATGTGAGGGACAGTCAGACGCTGAATCCATAAGAAGCTTCTTTCTCTTTTAAAGTTTATTTTTATTTTTATATATATGAGTGTTGTGACTATATTTATTTCGGTGTACCATGTGTGTATCTAGTGCCCACACAGGACAGAAAAAGACATCGAATCCCCTGGGACTGGAGTTTCAGACAGCTGTGAGCCAACATGTGGGTGCTTGGAATTGAACACTAATCCTCTGGAAGAGCAGCCAGTGCTCTTAACCTCTTGAGTCATCTCTCCAGGCCGGGAAGCTTAGTTTTCTTAAATAAAAGTAGTCAGCAGTTAAGTGCTGGCTGCTTGCTGATTGGCAGTGGTGCATACCTTTAATCCCAGCACTCCGGAAGCAGAGGAAGGCGGATCTCTGTGAGTTTGAGGCCAGGCTGGTCTTCAAGTTCCAGGACAGGCAGGGCTACACAGAGAAACCCTATCCCCAAAAACCAGAGTGCTGGCTGCTCTTCTAGAGGACAGAGTTTGGTACCTAGTACCCAGACGGGCAGCTCACAACCACTTGTTAACTCTCCTGTCCTCTTCAGACACCCAGACATTGTGGCACACATCACACATACATATAAATAAAACAATAAAAGAAATCTTGCCGGGCAGTGGTGATGCACACCTTTAATCGCAGCATTTGGGAGGCAGAGACAGGTTAATCTCTGTGAGTTCGAGGCCAGCCTGGTCTTACAGAGTGAGTTCTAGGACAGCCTCCAAAGCTACAAGGAGAAACCCTGTCACAAACAAACAAACAAGTAAATAAGCAAACAAACCACACTCAGGAAATTCCTAAAAGAAAGTTAATTGTCCTGTTGTTTCCTGTTCAACAAGTAAAACCAAGCAACAATGGGAAAACACCATCCTGTGCTGTCTTGCTAAGGATCTTACATTCAGAGGCTATGATTCTAGATTAGCTGAGTCCATGATGAGATTGATAAATCCAGGAGACCAGCTTGGGTCCAAAGTCCAGGCTTTTGCGAGGTAAACCTAGCTGACCTATTGTTTCCCTCTTCACAACAACTGATGTGCTCAGGGAGAGAACACACCTAAGCTACTTGCCTCTCTCTCTTATACATATACACCTATAGGAATAAATTCAAGTGCAAATTTGGATAAAAACTGATGGGAAAGGATAAATTGAGCAGCAGAGACAGAATGGTACTGTCCTGTTTGTTTTTTGTCAATTTGACACAAGCTAGACTCTAGCTCTGTTAGAGCTATCTGGGAAGAGGAATCTCAACTGAGAAAATGCCTCCAACAAATCAGTAGGGCATTTTCTTCATTAATGAGTGATTGGGAGGGCCCAGAGCACTGTGGGTAATCCCACCTCTAGGCAGGTAGTCCTGGTTGTGTAACTAGTTTGAGCAAGTCAGTAAACAGTGTACCTCCATGGTCTCTATTTCAGTTCTTGCCTCCAGGTTCCTGCCTGAGGAGCTCCTGTCCTGGTTTTCCCTGATGATGGACTGTAACCTGTAGGCCAAATAAATCCACCTCTCCAAATTGCTTTTGGTCATGGTGTTTCTGTTACAGTAGCAGAAACCCAAGTACTGAGCAATTACTTCACACTACCATCTCCTTTATTTTTCTTTTAATACTATTATTATCCGTGTGTGTGCACGCATGTGTGTCATAGTGCACAACGTAGGGGACAGAGGACAGCTCAAAGGAGTTTGCTATTTTTCTACCATGTGGGTCCCAGAGATCAGACCCTAGATGTCAGGCTAGGCAGTAAGCGCCTTTACCTGCAGAGCCACCTTCCTGGCCCTGGTAAAGTTTCTCAACTATTGAAACTGAGTGACAAGCAACTGAAAGATATACTACTTTTTACGCTTGCGTCCTTCAAGTATAGTTTAAATTTTACGGAGCAAGAAAAAGCTTTTCTTGCATTTAGCAACATTCAACCATTTAGCAACATTTCAAATGTTGCAGAAACATTTCTCTGTCTAACTGGTAGGGAATGAGGAAAAGAGGCAGGGGCAGAAGAAGAGCAGCCCAGCATTGTGGAGAGGCTGCCACGCACTTGCAGCCCCGCTCAGGATGCCCACTGTCAGGGGACAGCCTGTGTGTTGCCCTTCTGATTCTACCAGACTCACCATCTGGCTTCATATTAGGGCAAAATCTCTTCGAAAATAGAAAAAGATTTTTAGATTCCAAACAACTCACAGCCAGAAGACTCTGGTTTATTTCCGCGCCTTCCATCTTTGTCTGTCTGTCTGAGTCCCTGGCATCTGCTGCTCTCTCACTGCCAGCCAAATCAATGAAAGAGATCCTAGAAAAAAGACACAGCAGGAACGACTTCTTTGGGATTTTGGTTTATTTCCATATTAGTGACATTTGTTGACCTCAGGAAGAAAAGGAGCATGGCTTATCCTTAGGAAATAAAAGGCATTATTGTTAGTCTTCCAAAAACATCACAGGATTCTGATGTGTCAGCTGGAGCCGGCACTGTTCACTAAGACACTTCCATTGGCTCTACTAGTTATGAGGAAGTATGACTGAAATTAATAAAGCATTTCCCCACAAGGGTAAGTGACCATAATGCAAATCAGTTAGGTGACTACTTAGATAATTAAATAGAAAGTTTTATTGGCTGTTTTCTAACAAGAAAGGATGAAAAAGAAGAGAATGCCTCATTACTCAGAGGTGAGACAGGCTCATCCATCAGCACGGCAGAGTTTGCTAAGACAGCACCAGGAAAGCAATGAATGTATCCAATTGTCTTACATCTTCTTTGAAGAAGAATGGATTCCCCCACCCTCATTTATGGCCTGCAAGCTCTCTGAGGTGCATTCCTTGCTGTTTCTCTGCTGATACTGTGTTTCACGTTAGAAGCAATCGATGTCCCTTTTAATAACTTCGGGTTGACCAACAATAGGTCATTACTTCATGGTTAATCAACTGATGGCACTTTATACAATGATTTATTTCAGGGTTAACAACACTTACTCTATATCCATGCAATGAAGATAGAAAGGGGCAGGGTGTCCCATTTTGAGCATGTGTATTTCAAAATTACATATGGAAAGGCAGACAATGCAATTCTCCACATAGTTCCAGCTCACCTGCCAAATGTCCTCTTGGCTGAATCTTTGATCTGAATTTGAATGATAGCGTGGGATCGGGAGGAATCTGCATTGACGCCAGTGGCCCCAGTGCTGCGCTCCTTGCTGCCCTTTAAGATCACCTAAAAATAAAATGCATAGGATGACTTCCTCTGGGAGAAAACAAAGTCCTCTGGCTCTGGAAAGTTGGCTAAGTAATCAGCAGAGACCAGGCATGTAATTTTGTTAGCATACTGCAGTGTTCAATGTCCAGGTGGAAGTGTGCCCAGACACTAAATCATACAGAGTAAGTACCAACAGCAGTGAGAACAATGTGGAATACTAATCTTGTGGGAGAACAGTCAATGGCTCAAAAGCTAATTTACTTCTTAATCTTATGCACTCTTTTTAATATCTTTGATGGATCTAGCCTAACCAAAATCCCCAGGGCAAAAACTTGGCTCCAGAGCAAGGTCTTCGAGCCTTTCATCTATCTTAGTAACTGAAGTAAAGGACAGAAATACATCACAGAATGATTGATCACATCCACCTGCTCTACCAGGATGCAGGGATGGAGGAAGCCAAACCTGATGTTCAGGAACAGGGAAGTGAGTTGTTTCATGTGCCTGTAACTCCCCTTGATACCAGTACTCTCTGACCTCTGCCTGGAAGTCAAGAACTGGGATCTTTTGGTCACAAAGGAATGGAGGAAGGGAGTAGTCTCAGGCCTCCAGCCTCCAAGCAATGAAAATATAATCATATATATGAACATGTTACCCTGATTTAAAAAAAAATTTCTGACAGGGTCTCACAATGTAGCTGATGATGAGTAAGGCATATTCCTTACTCTGCCTCCCAAGTACTGAGGTCTTGGGTTTGTTCCATGGCACCAGCTCTGCCACCCTGATTTTGGACAGAGAAGTACTGATTACAAAGAATAAAAAAAAATTAATCATTATTTGAAAGAATTCTCATAATAGTCTAATGTGACTTAAGAATAAATAATTATTATGCCAAATTTACTATTGAGAAACAAATTCAAAGGTGGCTTCTTATAGTCAAATAAGTGTCATGTGGTGGGGCCAAAGCCCACATTCAGAATATCTGACTCCAATGTCCATGTGGTTTCTACCATGCGCCCACACTGTGCACTTCAGATAAACTTGTTTATTTCATAGTGAATTAAGAGTAAGAAAGTCCTAGGTCATTTCCTTCCCCAGTCTCTCAGAATTTTAATTTGTATCATGTTGAACATGGTCATGTTTTCTACATTAAGAGTCCAAATATTGACAAACTCAAATTCAACAAGCTTCAAAATACCTTATCAAATAGTAGGGGCAAGGGCTTTAATTTTCTTTCTTTCTTTCTATTTTTTTTATTTTTATTATTATTATTTTTTTTTTGGTTTTTCAAGACAGGGTTTCTCTGTAGCTTTGGAGCCTGTCCTGGAACTAGCTCTTGTAGACAAGGCTGGCCTCGAACTCACAGAGATCCGCCTGCCTCTGCCTCCTGAGTGCTGGGATTAAAGCCGTGCGCCATGACCACCCAGCAATTTTCTTTTTAAAAAAAACTAATTAAAAATAATTTCTAGGCTGGGAATACAGATCAGCTGGTAAAGTTGGTAGAGTGCTTGTGCTAAGCCCTGGTTTTGAACCCAGCACTGCACATCCTGCAGTCCTATCCCTTAGGAGGCAAAGGTAAGAGGATCAGGAAGTCTAAGGCCATCCTAGTTACATGGTAAACTTGACAGAAATCAATCTGATACACTTGAGGCCCTGTTTCAAAAAACAAAAAGAATTTCTCACTCTTAATCCCAGCATTTTGGAGGCAGAGGCAGGCAGACTTCTGAGAGTTCAAGGCCAGCCTGGTCTACATAGTGAGGCTCTACCTTAAAAGGAAGGAAGGAAGGAAGGAAGGAAGGAAGGAAGGAAGGAAAGAAAAGAAAAGAAAAGAAAAGAAAAAGGAGTCTGTGGAGATGAATTTGACTGAAGTCCTAGAATGCTATAAGTAGAGTCTTTACAGCATGATTGTGGTGGGAATTCAGAGGACCAGAATACTGACAGGAATGCAGGCAGTAAAGACTGTCTCACAAGCACACAACTGGAAGAAGATTAGAAGTCATTTATTTTGGCAAAGAATTTGTCTATATTTTGTTCATGTCCAGAAACTTTGCAGAAGCTGAATTTAAAGGTGATTGACTAATTTGACTTGAAAGTTCAAGAAAGCATAGCATTGGGCTGGAGAGATGGCTCAGTGGTTAAGAGCACTGGCTGCTCTTCCAAAGGTCCTGAGTTCAATTCCCAGCAACCACATGGTGGCTCACAACCATCTGAAATGAGATCTGATGCCCTCTTCTGGCCGGCAGGCAGACACACAGACAGAATATTGTATACATAATAAATAAATAAATTTTTTTTTTTAAAAAAAAAGAAAGCATAGCATTCAAGCTGTAGAAGTTACCGTTGTTTTCAGCTAGATTTATAGTAACGATCAGAAGCAAAGAACAGGGGATTTTAAAAACATATAATCTGGCTAGAAAAGGAGTGATCTGAAAGCTGTGAACAAGGAGGGTGGTTTATTAAACAGATTAGTGCCATTAGAAAGCACCAAGGGCTGGGTGGTGGTAAAGCACACAAGACCATGACCAAGATATGGTAAGCTCACGTAGTAACTTTACAAAGACAGGAAGAACTAACATCTATATATAAATTTCCAAAACGAATGGTTGCCTTCATCAGAATTTCATGGGAAATATAGCTTTATAAATTGTTACATATGCCACAGGCTCCTCAGTCCACATCAAAAACAAAAAGAAGTGGGATTGGGAATGGGAAGGAGAGCCAGAGCACCCCACTTGTCTGGCCACAAGACTTTAACCACCAAGCCTTCCTACACAAAGGTCAAAGCACAGCAAACACCTGATGTGCATGCTATCCTTGTCTGAGAAGCGGTGGCTCTGTTCAGTCTCTACTATCCACACCCAACTGAGAGTCACCTAAGGATCTTCTTGTAGGGATCTTTACAGACGAAGCAATGATAAAAACATGAGCAGGTATCACAACTCTTGAGAATAAAAACCTGTGATTATATAAGTAGCTATTGGGCTACAGGGACGGCTCAGTGGCTAAGAACGTTTGCTGCTCTTGAAGAGAATCAAGTTTGGTTCCCAGCTTCTATACAGAGGGAGGAGGCGGGGAGCTCCCATTCTCTATAACTTTGGTTCCAGGGTACTGATACTTTCTGGCCTCTTTAGGCATCTGCACTCAGATGGCATACACTCACATAAACACAAACATACATAAAATTATTTAAAAAATTTGATTTTTATTTTGTGTGCATTGGTGTTTTGCCTGCATGTATGTCTGTGTGAGGGTGTCAGAACCTCTGGAACTGGAGTTACAGACAGATGTGAGCTGCCATCTGGGTGCTGGGAATTGAACCCAGGTCCTCTGAAAGAGCAATCAGTGCTTTTAACCACTAAGTCATTTCTCTATCCCCAAAAATAAATCTTAAAAAATATAAAAAAGCTATTAGAATGATTTAAGTCGGAAATCTCTAATTGACTGACCAAAAGTTAGTTAAAAAAACAAAGACTTGAGGGGCTGGAGAGATGGTTCGGCAGATAAGAACACTTGTTCCTCTCGCATAGGATCCGGTCTCAGTCCCCATCACATATACACATACAGGCAAAACACTGCACATAAAGTAAACTAAACAAAGTTTTTTTTTTCCTTAAGATTATTTTCCTTTTTCAAGAAAGGGTTTGTCTTTGGAGCCTGTCCTGGCACTAGCTCTGTAGATCACGCTGGCCTTGAACTCTCAGAGAACCGCCTGCCTGCCTCTGTCTCCTGAATGCTGGGATTAGAAGCATGCGCCACCACCACCCAGCGGGAAGAGCAGTCTTAACCTGTAAATCACCTCTCCAGCTCCCCTAAACAGTCTTTTAAATGATAATAATAATAAAAAAAAAATCTTGAGTCCAAATATGGGCAATATGTCAAGGCAGTTAGTTCTTCATAAGGGCAGAGTAGTCCTGGTGTCTGCACTGCTGAGGTCAGGTAGCCAGAAAGACCTGGAAGGACAAATTTCTGGAAGAAAGGAGAATCCTGTTGTGCAGGCAGTGTCAGGTAGCTGTGCTGGAGTGAGCGTGAGGGTTATCTGAGGGTAACACTTGAAGATGACACTTTAACAAACACATGGGTGATACCTGAGTGGGTATGAACACCAACATCTGAGAGAGTATAGGTGTAATTCAAGTAGGCAAGTGCTGTGGTTTCAAGTCAATAAATGTTTATGAGAGTAACTGTGTCAGGTATTCATAATTTATGTTAACTTTCCACCTGGATCTCTGATATCTTTCTGATTGTAGTTTTATTTTATAGACTAGGGGGATCAATGACAATAAATTAATAACAAGCTAACAAACAAAAACCAAGTTAACAAACAAAAGCCTTCATGCTTTTTTTTAAGGAACAATACTTTAGGATAAGGCAATGCCATATACTCTTCCAAGAGAGGCTCATGTGACACAGACTGCCGTTGTGGGCACAGTTGTGGGGCTGGAGGTGTAGATCAGTGGCAGAGTGCTTGCTAAGCGTGTGTGTGTGTGTGTGTGTGTGTGTGTGGCTCTGGATCTGACCCCTTGCACTACAGGGAGGAAGTAGCACAGTTATAGCTCGAAGCTAAGGAAAAGGGATTTCCCTAAAGCATTTGTTCCTTTTCCTCTTAAGAATACCAAGGCCTAGAGTCACCTCAGACTCCTAACCAATGAAGGAATGGCTGGGGAAAGTACAGCAAGAAAACTACAGAGAATACATGTGTGAGAAACATTTTCCTTCAGATTCCATACCTAGCACTTTGTTGTGTTTTTTTGAGACAGGGTCTCTATATAGCCTTGGCTGTCCTGGAATTCACAATGTAGACCAGGCTTGTCTTGAGCTCAGAGATATCCACCTGCCTCTATGGATATCTGGGATTAAATATATGTACCACCACACCGTACTTTCATTATGTTTTAATGGAAGAAATGAAAAAAAGGGCCCATGAATGATCTAATATAAAGTTGGGGTTGAGCCAGGACAGCCCAGAGCTCAGTGGCAGAATGCTTACTTAATGAGTGTAAGGTTCTGTGTTTGAACCCCAGAATCTGTTCCCCCAAGAAAGTCAGGCTTGAGGATCATTAAAAGAAGGAGGATCATTAGAAATATATTTGTGCTGGGCGGTGGTGGCGCATATCTTTATTCCCAGCACTTGGGAGGCAAAGGAAGGCGGATCTCTGTGAGTTCGAGGCCAGTCTAGTTCCAGGACAGGCTCCAAAACTTCAGAGAAACTCTGTATCAAAAAACAAAACAAACAAACAAACAAAAAAAGAAAAAATAAAGAAGAAAGAAAGAAAGAAAGAAAGAAAGATATTTGTGCCAAGTGGTAGTGGTGCACACCTTTAATCCCAGCACTTGGGAGGCAGAGGTGCACAGATCTCTGTGAGTTCAAGGTCAGCCTGGTCTACTGAGTGAGTTCTGGGACAGCCAAAGCTACAGAGAGAAACCCTGTCTCGAAACAGACAAACAACAGAAATATATTTGTACATAAATCAATAAATTTAAACAAGAAAAAACAATAATCAATTAATATTGTATATCACAGAGACAGTGTAAGTGCTAAGGATAGTAAAAGGGCTCTTATTTTCTATATTTCTGCAATGTTTAGAAATATGTAACAGTAAGCAAATACTATGTTTATTATAGCAAATGGATAACTTTTAATAAAGAAGCAGACTTTCAAAATTCCTTTGGAAGGATACACAAAAACTAATAAAATTAGTTGCCTCGGGAAAAGGGAATGGAAAGAGTATTTTCCAATTCTTTGGATTTTGAGATCTTGTGAAAGTATTGCTTATTAAATTTTTATTTAAAATAAGAACATTTGCCTCTAGCAGCTTTCTCCTAAGCCCACTGACACATAAAATATAATCACAGTCTTTGAGAATGGCCCAAGAGCCCATGCATCCGTTTCTGCAACATGCCCTGCCTCCTACACTCAAGGGCACTGTGGAGAAACAAGCTATCTTCAAAAGGTAGCTCACATTATACAAATGTGTGTGGCATCACTGCCCTGAGCATTTATCTGAGCCATCACACTTGCTAGGAAGCAAAATGAAGTGTTTACCCTGGGTTGAGGCTGCTGTGGGGTGTAAGGAGAAGGGTGAATTACCTGTAGGAGGAGCTCTACACTGTCCACTTGGAGCTCTCGAAGGCCAGCTATCTGCACCACATGCTTGCTATCTTCTCTTGCGAAGAGCCTGCAGATGACAAGCTGTGTTTGGTATGACAGACACGGGGTTGTATCTTGCTTTCCCAAAACATTCTACGAGTCTTCACATAGTGGTTTTGCCATTAGTATGGGATGGATCTGCTTCCCCTCCCCAGCCCTACCTTCCTAACGTGAGCTTCAGACTACCGTGGTGGTCCTTCCTTGTTGTAAACAAATAAGTATCTTTGATTAAAATAAAAAGAATAAGCATAAAATCCATACATTTTCCAAACCAAGGACAGCACAGTCCTGGCTAGTAACCAGTGCAATGGAGGATTCAGGATCTTTGCTGTCTAATCAACTACAACTCTAGCCTCTACCTGTTAGCTGCTCTCCTCTTCTCTCTTGTGGAGAGAAAACATGTGGTCCCGGGAGCAGCAGCAGCCATTCTGTATCGACAAAGAACTAGCTCCACAATGAAGGTAACAAATGGAGGGGAGGCAATGCAGAGAGATGCAAAGCAACCGTGTCATTATCCCTGAGCAATGGAACAGAATATCCCTGAAGTCTCCCTAGCCTTCCAATTTATCTGAGCCAATGATTTCCCTAAATACAGTAGGGTGGAGTTGTTTTTTTTTTTTAATTTGTAACAGGAGTTCTGATACGTATTTTTGTTTTGTTTGAGACAGGATCTCATTATGAAATTCAAGCCGGCCTCCAACTAATTTACATAATTCATTAAAGAATTATATTCTGATAAAGCTGGATATTCTGTCTCTCACACACACAAACATGCACACAACAATTACATGTATAATGGTGACTTTTACTTAAAAGAAGTAGGCATCATGACTAGAGAGCTTTGGGGGATCAGGAGATGAGGCAAAGTCCCACTGTGTAGTTCAGGCTGGCTTTGAAACTGTGACCCTCTTGTCTTAGTCTGCTGAGCGCTGGCATTACAGGTCTGTGCTATCATTCCTGGGTAAAATGTTTCCTTTCTTTTTTTTATACTGAGGATTGAATTCAGGGCCTTACACATGTCAGGTTAAGTGTTCTACTACCCAGCTACAGCCTCAGCTTGGAAAGGGCTTTTAAGGAGGGTTCCTGGGGTTGAAAGAAAAGCCATAATTGAGTTAAATGGAGGTTTAAACACCATTACAGAGATGGTGACTGAGAACAGTAACTCTCGCCCAAAGGATTCACTGAGTAGCACTGCCTCCGTTTGACAGCTATGTTTCAGAGATGGACCCTAAACACTAATTTCTCTCAACTGTGACACACGGGCATACCTACTTGTTGGGATGGTAACAGTGCACCTGCTGGAGCCTTTCCTATCAGTAAGAACCACGGTCTCCTAACTGCACAGGAACTCTCCGACACCCTACTCCACTGCTTGCCTACAGCACATGAACTTGAATGTCACACTGGACACCTCCACAGGCTTGCGTGCCTTTGCTGTGGTGCTGGTCCAGCATTACTAGCCTTCTTCCACACTTAACTTTCCACTCAGGTATCAGTAGTTTACTCTGTGGTGACAATCCATTACCTTCTGACCTCTCTCTCACCTTTCTATGCTCCAGCTAGTAGACCCCTTCACAACTTTGTTGCTTGCTGTTCAGTTTAAGTCACATGTTCCCACCTAAACAAAATTTCATTCTAGAAACACATATAATAGGCACACTGATACAGTTCTAGTTTACTTTTATAAAAGCAATAAGCTGAAGGCTGATAACAATTAAAAGTTGAAGGTAGCCAGGTGGTGGTGGTGCACACCTTTAATCCCAGCACTTGGGAAGCAGAGGCAGGAGGATCTCTGCAAGCCTAGTCTATGAAGTGACTTCCAGGACAGCTAGAGCTGTTACACAGAGAAACCCTGTCTCAAAAAACAAAAGACACAAATAGTTGAAGGTGGGACAGTGGGACAGCTCCCACCACCAAACCTGGCAATCTGAGTTCCAGCCCTTAGACCAGAGGCTCTCAACCTATGGGTCACGACCCTTTGGGGGAGTGCTGAATCACTCTTTCACAGGGGTCACCCAAGACCATTAGAAAACACAGATCTTTACATTACAGTTCACAACAATAGCAAAATTACAGTTATGAAGTAGCAACAAAAATAATTTTATGGTTGGGGGGGTCACCACAACATAACATGAGGAACTGTATTAAAGGGCTGCCGCATCAGGAAGGTTGAGAGGCACTGCCTTAGACCCACACAAAGATAGAGACAGAAGAGAAATGACTCCTAAAGTTATTCTTTGACCTCCACATCCCCATCATGTCACACGCACACTTACATACATATACATACGCCCACAAAATAAAGAAATTAAAATGTAATTTGAGAGCACTGGCTACTCTTCCAGAGGACTCAGGCTGGTTTCCAGCACTCACATGGAAACTAACTGTCTGTAACTGCAGTTTCAGGGATTCTGGTGCCTTCTTCCAGCTTCCATAGGCACCAAACATGCATGTAGTACAAAGGCATATAGGTAGGCCAAACACCCACATACATAAAATAAAAATAAATCTAAAAAAAAGTTGAATGTGAAGAAAAAAGGCATTTTTTTGACAATTTCAGAAAACTGTCATTAAATTAACTCTAACATTTAAAGGGAAATATATAAATAAATGTTGATTTCCTGACATTCTGAAATTATTATCTTTTTCACAGGAAAAATGGGGAGGAGTCTTGGTAGGTACTAAGATGTTATTCTTTTAAAAACATTATTGGAAACTGAAGCTGTAGCCCAGTGGCAGAATGACTGCAAACATGTGTGAGGTACTAGGTTCAAGCCCCAGCATTGAAAAGATGTTAACTGATGGCTACTTTACATTTTTCTCCAACTGAATTAACAGTTTAAAAAATATGTACTGAGCTAAGCATCGCGGCAAAAGTCTTTTATTTCATCACTTGGGAAGGAGAGTCAGGATGATCATAAGTCCAAGGCTGCCCAGGCAAAACAGAAAGTTTTATAGCAGACAGGACTATACGGCCAGACAGCCTCAAAACAGAAAACAGAAGAAAGGGGAAGAAAGAACATCCTATGTAAGAAACTGTCATTTCACAAAAATGCCTGTCATTAAAGTCATGTGACCAGAGTGATTCCATGGAGCTCTGGCTCAAACAGTGATGTAGAGACCAACAGCTTCTGACTCTTAACTAGTACCGTTTTCTTCTATTTAGGAGGTCATACAGTTGTCCGCAGTAGATCTCATAGAAGCTAATCCACACAAAGAGGTTCCTTCTTGGCTGGGATACTTTCAGCTGCCTGAAGATATCTTTGGCGGCCAAAGCATACAATCCTGGGTTTTGATGAGTTCCTATCATAGTATAGGTTTTTCCAGCACCTGTTTGTCCATATGCAAAGCAAGTGGCATTGCCTCTGGGAGAAGAATAATTAGAATTACTTATAAATATTTAAAGAAGTGATAATTTACATAGAGACATTTAACGACGTCAGGAAGAAACAGAATCCTTAAAGAAATCTAGCACATAATTAAGAAGTCTTATATTATGAAAACACAAAAAGTAAAAACATCCTCAAACTGAGGTATATTTTCTTAAAGGAATTATTTTATAGAACTGATAATACTATATAAGGTAACTATTGAATATAAGGTAATAAGGATTTTGAACACCACTTGAGCTAGAGATACAGCTAAGTTGGTAGAATGCTTGCCTTGCACATAGGAGGCCATGAGTTTGATTCCCAGCATGACACACACACAGCAACAAACACCAACTTTCTATTCTACATAAGATGCTTAGATGTATCCTAAAGACTCTTCTTTCCTTTTGTATTTTGTGCTTTGCTTTTGTTGTTTTGTGACAGTTACCATTGTAATCCAGGCTGGCCTAGAGCTCTTGGAGTTCACCCGTAGATCAGGCTGACCTTGAACCTGTTTTTTCCCACCATAGCTAAGAGATTCCAAAGTTCAAGCTAATTACAACCACTTACATAGTTATTCTGAAAATACTGACAAAATTAAACTACTGAGAGCTTCTACTTTCCTAGGAAACAGAGAAACAGTATCTCCAGTGTAAAAGGAAATTTTGTTGCAAATTTCTCAATGTTTGGTATATCTACATTACAACATAAATTCATATTTAATTCAAAAGAACTAGAAAAGCATCCATGTATTAGTAAAGGAACACAGCTTATGGGGAACAGAAAACTAAAGGTAAGAGCAGGAATAAATCTGTCTCACCCATTGAACACATGCTGAATGAGCGGGTGAGCAGTCTTCAGGTACACATCTCGATTGGTGCATGCCTCACCAAAGACTTCATCAAAATAAAAAACATGCTGAAAAACAAACTTGAGTTTTATAGAAATACATTTGCATTTTCACCACCATTCTATGAACACATGGGAAAAGCTAAACATATTTCTAAGCAATAGTAACTGACAAGTGCAGAGAAATGAATAACCAGTAACTGTAAAATGACAGTACCTTTGCTTTCCACCTGTCCTTATACGTTCTTACAGTGTAATAACTAAAGTAAACAGCTTTTGTCCCATTTTAAGGAATGTAAACTGATAAACACAAGAGTGAGTAAATCCTTTTGGGTCTGGGAGAGGAAATGAATTCTATAAGGATTATCTAACAGACTAGGCAAAGTCAATATATATGAAAATTTGTGTGAATTCTAGGGATGAATTTTCTTCTGTAGGTTACATAGCTTAACTTGTAGTTCACAAACATTCACTGTTAGCTGATGGATGTATACTGTAACAGGAGTATGCAGGAGTCCAAAGAGAAAGACATTATTCCACCCAACTCCTGAAGGTGCTGATCTATACAAATACACAGATGACCTATCTGATAGCAGAACTTTAAGAGATGGTTTGGATGAGAAAAATGAACATGCATCCCAATAGTTGCTGTATTTGCCCCATCTTCAGTGTCTCCTGATACTCTGAGTTGGATTATAAAGTATTTAGCTATAGGAAAAGTCACAATTTTTGTTTCAATGGATCTGTTTGATTATTTTTATTACTATTTGAGACAGGGTTTTATGTGTTCCAACTGACTTTGAAGCTATACAGTCAAGGATGATCTTGAACTTCTTACTTTCCTGTCTCTGTCTTCCAAGTGCTAGAATTACATGACTGTACCACCCTGCCTGGTTTATGTGGTGCTGTGGATTAAACCCAGGATTTCATGCATGCCAAGCAAGCTCTAACAACTCTACCAACAAAGCTGCATTTCAAGCCCTGTTTTTATTTTAATAACAACTTTTGAGCAGCTATAGGAAAACTGAACAGAGAGCAGAATTTCTGTATACGCCTTTCTTCAAGTTCCTTCTATTAAAATCTTGCCCACTAGAGGAGGGTGGGTATAATTCAATAGAAAACATTTCACTCACTGGGAAAGTTATTAGGAAAAGGACTACTGAGACTGGCTGGAGTGGTGTGAGAGGTAGAGATGGGAGGAGGAAGGAAGATAGACAGTGTCAGAGAAACAAAAGCAAAAGGTCAAAGAAAGAAAGCTTAAGCAATTAGCTGTTTAGTTATGTTTAGGAACAGAGAATGTCCAGTACAATCAAACTCAGGACCCTGGTAAGCAGAAGAGTGACTTAGACTATGTGGTAGGGGTCTTGGGACATCATCCTTAAAGGAATTAGCAGAAACAATGAGGATAAAGTAAAGAATTCTGCAAAAGAGAAGGATAATCTGAGCTACTCTGCTGGAAGATTAACCTGAGTTTACAATGTGACTAGACTGTGACAAGACTCCAGCCATTTGCTGGTGAAGTAAGAAGGTTCAAATCAGGTGACAATAATGGGGAAACAAAAAAACTGGCAAATGACTGGATATGAGAGAAAGGGCTATAAATAAAAAATCAGAGTGATGTAGAAAAAGAGAGAAGAGACTTCATTACACTGGGTCTGGAAAGCAATATTCCAGTAGCTATACTTTTTGAATAACTTAGAGGCTTACAATGATGGTAACATAACTACCCCTGAGTAAGAAATCTTAGTAATTTCATATCGACTATAACAGAATGACAGTAAATACACAATGAGTGAGATTAAGGGCCTATCTTCTGTTACATTTTCAACCTGCTCTAATTATTTACTAGAGATAATTGTAAAGATAGACCAGAAAACTTTGGCAAATTTAATGAGCTCACTCTACCCCAAGTTCAACTATCTTTTATGTACCATTACATTCCATTAGAAAGAAGTGAGATCACTAGAGAAGAAATTAGATCACAGAGCCATTTACAAGGTCACCAAACATTAGAAAGTGAGAGAATCCATCTACAGAATGGAAGAAAGATCTGGGCTGGGGTGAAGTTTAGCTGGTAGTAGAATGCTTGTCAAACAAGTAGAAAACCCTAGGGTCATTCCCTCCCATGGAGTAAAAGCAGGGGCAGCTGCAGATGCTTATAATCCCAGCACTTAGGATGTGGAACCACGAGAATCATGAGTTCAAGGTCACCTCAGGTACATACAACCAGCTCAAGACTGGCATAAGCTGTGTGTGTGTGTGTGTGTGTTGGGGGTGGGTGGGAGTTGTATACATGTAAGTGTGCATACAGAGACCAGAGGAGGAGGACTTCAGGTGTCTTCACAGATTACTCTTCTGCCTTGTGACAATTTCACACTGACCTAAAAGCTTGCCATTTCTAGACTGGCTGGCCAATGAGCTCCTGGCCAGCCTTGGTGGCACACACATTTGGTCCCAGCACTTGGGAGGCAGAGGCAGGTAGATCTTGTCAGTTCCAGGTCAGCCTGATCTACAGAGTGAGTTCCAGGACAGCCAGGGCTGTATAGTGAGGCCTGTCTTAACAAACACCAAAACCAAAATGAAACAAGAAACACAGGCCTTTTGCTGAGATGGTAAATCCTAGAGTCCCCATAGAGATTTATTTTACTGATGTTGATGAGTGTCTACTGTATGTGTGTGGGTGCTCATGGAAGCCAGAAGAGGGTGTCAGATCCCCGGATCTGGACTTACAGACCACTGTGACCTGCCTGACACAGGAGCTGGGACTGAACTCAAACCCTCTGGAAGAACAGTGAGTCTTCTTCCACCCAGCCAACCCTGGCTAAGCACGGCGGTGCAGGCTTGCAATCTCAGAACTCGAGTTGCCAAGGCAAGAGGATATAGTATATAGCCTGGGCTTCAAAGTGAATTCCAAGACAGCAGATTAGGCAGTGATACCTTCCCTCAATAAATACATAAAATATTTTTTAAAAATTGGAAAGTAGGGCAGAGCTTGGTTGCAGCTCAGTGGTAAAGTATTTTCCTAGCATAGGTGAGGTTCTAAATTGAATTCCCAGTATTTGATGGGTGTGTATGTGGTGGCAGTGGGGTGTAAAAGTAAAACAAAAAAGAAAATAGAACAAAAAAAAACCATGGAAAGTAAAATAGTTTTTTTTCCACTTTTGTGCTTGTATAAAATTTCTAATGAGTAAGTGGCAGAAATACTTGATTTGAAAAGATAGGATATTTAACTACATATACAAATTTTCTGTTTTACTCCCTGAATAAGTTTCAAAATAAAACCTAAAGAATCTAGGATTACTTTCATTTAACACCAAGTTCGATACAGACTTCTTTTTAAGGAAGGAAAAAAGAGAGAATGTAAGTCCTTCCAATATTTTTATATCATAGCGTTGACAGGTAAGGACTCTGACCTATGAAATCAAAGGTCCAAAGTTCAACAGCAAAGAAAATGCTTTGAGATCTATGGATATTCAATAAATATTGATCAATGGCAATGACAAAGAAGTAAGGTTATTGTGTCTGGGGATAATGGAAAAATACAAAAGATAATATGATGCCTCCTGGAGGGAATTACTGTGACTGAAGCATCATTAAGGAAATCTTGGGTAGATGGTGATTGGGCAGAGCGATTACTCTGGCTATAGTAGCCACGGAACTAACTAGCCTTACAACTAATTGGTCATTTAGACTATCTTCAAAGTAAGTATCTCCCACTGAAACCTAATAGACTGTGCATTGATCAACAATCAATGAAGCTGTTAAAATGATTGGGTTGGCTGTACAGTGGCCTAGTAATTTATTGCCCATAGAAAGACTATTGGATTACTCGAAATGTCACTGTGAAACTCAATTTTTGGAAGAACAATGCAAGTTTGAAAGAAGGAGTAAGTTTCAACAATTTGACTTCAGTGTTAAAGAATTTACTGCAATAGAATAGTGTCTCAGCTGACTAAGGTGAACTGTGAGCACATCCCATTAATCACTGCATTCTTCTTGGTACCAGTCACTGGGTTTTGCAAGAGAACAAGAGAAAGAAGCAGTATTGAATATGAATGTTTATGGAGGCAGACTCTTTAAAGAAGGCAATTCATAGTAATAGAAACCCTGAGTTCCAAAATCCTTGTGTGCAGGTACAGGTGTATACACCTATGTGTGCACATGGAAAGGCCTGAGGTTGATATTGGGAGTCTGTCACTCTGAATCTCATGTTTTGAAAGAGTTTATTTCCCTAAACCTGAGGTTCATCAATTAACTAGACCAGCCAGAAAGCTGATCTCTTGTTTCCATCATCCAGGGGCTACAATGCTCAACTTATTATGTGGGTACTGGGGTCTGAACTCAACTACTTATGCTTGTGCATCCAGCACTGTAACCACTAAGCCATTTCCTTAGCCCCTACGATTCCAATATCTTAACTACAGATTATATGACTTTCCTTCATTTGTGGAGTTCGTTGCTTCTCTATGAGAATTGGTGCAAGGGTACTTGCTAGCTTGGGATAAGTTCTTTTCAACACCTAACTGTTTTTATAGATAGTTTGAAATTTTTTTATGTATCTGAACAGTATTTTATGAAACCGTTAAATGTTAAATGTGAAAATATATCCCAAATAATATATTACCCATAATTAAATACAAGATTCATACTCAAGAGCTGGACATAATGGTACTTGCCTGTAACAGCACTCAGGATGGTCCATCAGAAAAGTCATGAGTCCAAGGCCAGCTTAGGCTAGTACAGCAAGTTTCAGGCTAGCCTGGACTACAGACAGAGTCATAGCCTGTCCTCAACAAAACTCACACTCAGCGAGTGATAAACTGGCACTGAACGCTGAACATGGAAAGAAAGCACATGCCTGCAATTCTAGTATGCAAGAGACAGAGGCAGGAGGATAGATGCAAGTTCAAGTTTTGACTGGTGTGCCTAGCAAATTCTAGACCAACCAGGACTGCATAGTGAGATTTTGTTTAGAAAACAAACAAGCCAGGCGGTGGTGGGGCATGCCTTTAAGCCCAGCACAGGGAAGAAGAGGTAGGTGGATCTTTGTGAGTTAAGGCTACCCTGGGCTACATGGCAAGTTACAGAACAGCAAGGGCTACACAGTGAGATCCTAACTAAAAACAAACAACAAAAGAAAGAAAGAAAAGTTAAAAAGAAAAAGAAAGGAAGGAAGGAAGGAAGAAAGAAACCAAAGCAGCTGAGCGGTGGTGGCACACACCTTTATCCCAGCACTCAGGAGACAGACAGGTGAGGTTCTGTGAATTTGAGGCCAGCCTGGTCTACAGAGTAAGCTCCAGGACAGTTGGGGCTGTTACACAGAGAAACCCTGTCTTGAAGACAAAATAAAACAAAAAAGAAACCAAAAAGTTCGTATTGCATGATGTAGGGGAAAAAAGAAACCAAGTTTGTGACCATCACTCTCAGCAACTGGCATCAATAACTACTTATTTAAACTCTTTTTATTCTCTTGTCTGTGCCCTTGATTTTACTAAATATGTATAATTAAATTCACATAAATGGGCTGGAGAGATGGCACAGTGGCTAAGAGCACTGGCTGTTCTTCCAGAGGACCTGGGTTCAATTCCCAGCACCCACATGGTAGCTTACAGTTGTCTGTAACCTCACTTTCAGGGAACCCAACATCCTCACAAGGACAAATTTGCCTCACGTGTAGACAAAACACTAGTGCTCATTAAAAAAAGTTAAAAGCTGGGTGGTGGTGATGCACGCCTTTAATCCCAGCACACGGGAGGCAGAGACAGGTGGGTCTCTATGAGTTCAAGGCCAGCCTGGTCTACAGCTGGAGTTCCAGGATAGACTCCAAAGCTACAGAGAAGTCCTGTCTTGACCAAGCAAAATAAATAAATAAAATAAAAAAAAACATGCTAAGTAAATACATGGTAGAGTTTCATTGCATAATACAGGAATTGTGGTTTTCCAACTATGTATATCATAACCGCATTACATTTTTAAAGAATGAAGGCCCAAAGTATCAATAACTCAGAAAAGCAATCAAGAGCTGAGCACAGAGGCACACGCCATTAATCCCAGCATTTGGGAGGCAGAGGCAGCTGGATCTCTTTGAGTTCTATCCGAGGTGAGATCCTGTCTGAAAATAAATAAATAAACAAACATTATAAAAAAAAATCAATACCTAAACCAGAAACTGGATTTTAGAATGATCATTTAAACATAAAGCTGGCATATTTCGTAATACTAGTTGGAACCACAGTAAGAGATCCTACCTGCAGAATATATTGTGTGAGGTCAACTGCTTCTTTTTTTTCATGTACAAGCAGAGTTTCTTTATCTTCTACAGTAATAATATTAACTTCTCCACGACGAACTTCCCTTACACCTAATGGCCGTTTTCGAACACAAACTCTGATTTTCTCCATTTCAGTCCAAGAATTCTCTGAAGTGATCTGTCTGATATATGTTTACAAACAGACTTTAATTCTTAATAAAAGGATTAAATTACTTAAATGGTCAAAGTATCAGCACATTTTGAATATATTTAATATAATTATTCTAGAGTTTTGTTTGTTTGGTTTGTTGGTTTTGTTTTTAAGACAGGGTTTCACTTTGTAGCTCAAGCAGGTCTAGAACTTGCTATACAGGTTGGCGCAAACTTTCTACTCTAGCCTCCCAAGTGCTGGGACTACAGGCATGTACCATCAAACCCAAGTTCTGAGACAGGTTGCTACTGTTGTGCAGGCTAGCTTGGGGCTCCTGTTTCTCTTGCCTCCACCTGACGTGTGCTGGGATAAACACCACCACATCAAGCTCATTTAAACAATTCAGCAAAGAGAAAAATTTAAACCTCTGTTTCTCATCTCTGACCTACACCCCCTCACTCTTACAATACAAAAAAAAAAAAAGGAAGGAAGAAAGAAAGAAAGAAAGAAAGAAAGAAAGAAAGAAAGAAAGAAAAGGAGGAAGGAACAGGCTAGTGACTAAACTGTCAGCTACTTTAGCTCTAAGACTTGTACATTTGATGCCGGGGAGCAAATCCAAAGTCTCATGCATGCTAAGTAAGCACTCTATCAACTGAAAGACATTCTCACACACTACATTTCTCTCTCTCTCGCTCCTTTTTTTTTTTTTAAAAAAAAAATTCTACTGGTTTACTAAGTGTCTCGAATTAGGTGGTAGGTTTCAATGTACTTTTCCTCCTATTCATCATAGATATACTCAGTTTCTCCGAATCCTATTCCTTTCTCCGTCTGTCTGTCTGTCTGTCTGTCTGTCTGTCTGTCTGTCTATCTGGTGTGTGTGTGGGGTGAGGAACACATGCGCACACATGTGTGCATGCGCATTGTGTGTGAAGAGGTCAGGGAACAATCTTATGTGTCTTTTCTCCTCAGGAACTGTCCACCTTGTTTTCTGAGACAGAATTTTTCACTTGATTTAGGGCAAACATCAGGGATCCACCTGTCTCTACACTTCAGTGCTGGGATTACAAGTATGTACCACTATACTGGCTTTAACATGTGTGCTGGAGATTGAACTTGACGTTATGCTTGCATGGCAAGCATTTTATCAGCTGATATGAATTCATTCATTACAATATAACCATATATTTCTTCTCAAGATAGTTTTAAGACTGGTCATATCCACTACTACCTCAATCTCCTATTCAATGCATTCTTTCCGCTAGCCCAACACCTAAAGGACTATTCCTCAAGCCAGGGATAAAACACTAATGAGGTTTATTTGCTGAGTTTCATGTGATAATGTATCTAAGAATCAATCACTTATAGAAACTTCTTTAAAACTAGGTTGTAAGAAAATAAGATCCATTTTCCTCTTAATTTATTTTCATAAAAATCTTATTTTCAGGGGAGGTAAGGAGGGGGAGGGAAAAGGGAGGTGGGGAGGAAGTGGAAATTTTTAATAAATAAATAAATCTTATTTTCAGCTGGGTGGTTGATGGCACACACTTTTAATCCTAGCACTTGGGAGGCAGAGGCAAGCAGATCTCTGTGAGTTTGAGGACAGCCAAGACTGTTACACAGAGAAACCCTATCTTGAAAAACCAAATAATAATAATAATGATGATGATAATAATAATAAAATAAAAAAATTTAATTTTCTGAGTCTTCCAACTGGCTGAAAAATTATTTTTTGTCAGGATCTAAATTAGTTTTACAACAAACAAAGAAATTTTCCAATAAATTATAGTGCTTGATTTTAAGACATCTTAAAACACGTTTTATTATTTTAATTAAAATATGAGACTAATGTATCATTTGAGGCATGAGACTTAATGCGTATATGGGGAATTTATTGTTCTCTCTTTTGCATATGTGCTTAATTTTTCACAATAAAAGAGAGAATATTTTAATCTATTATTTTGGAATCCATTCTACTTTTTGATTTCATATTATTATCTGTTCCTTTATAAAATCTATTTTTTTCGCTTTATGTTTTACTCTAACCCATTATTTTAAAGGGGTTTTTGGTCAAATCTCTTTGATGTTAGCATTAGTAGCCTAATCACAACAAGCTAATCAAAGAGGACGGAAAATGCTTAGACCTTTTTATTTTTGTTAGGTTTGAGACGGGTCTTGCAATGTGGTCTGAGCATCCACAGTGCTAGATTACACAATACTACTACGCCCAGCCAGTCATTTTTAGAGTTGTGCAGGAATTCTAGGGGAGTCACAAGGAAAAAGGTCTGTAGTTTGTGGTTTTTAAGTTAAAAGACAAAAAGGAAAGTGTGTTCTTCCTTAGTGGGTATTTTCTGGCTCATTTGTTTTTGAGATAGGGTCTTTCTATGAGGCCAAGGCTGGCTGGAGCTCATCAGCCTTGTGTCTGTCTTGTGAGTGATGGGCTTGCTGTATGCTCCACCATGCCTGGCACAAATGGCTATGCCTGTCATCTCTTACCTTGCCCTCTAATATCTAAGAGCCTCCAGATATCTTTATTATCTTCATACCTAGAGTCAGAGATCACAGCTTTACTTAATATTTATAGAATAAATGTAATGGCAATATTTAAACTAAAATATGCATTCTAAATCATGATGTATTAAGTAATGGAAAGTAGTTTTTGTTTGTTTTTTTCAAGACAGGGTTTCTCTGTGTATTTTTGGCTGTTTTGGAACTCACTCTGTAGATCAGGCTGGCCTTGAATTCACAGAGATCCTCCTGCCACTGCCTCCCGAGTGCTGGGATTAAAGGTATATGTCACCATGCCCAGTGGAAAGTAGTAATTTTATAAATAATCCTAATTTATATTTTTCTGTGTTGGTCAATAAGACTAAAATAGTAAAAAAAAAAAAGCTTGCTATTTTATCTTTCATATTTACAATCTATAATTAAAGAAGAAAAATAGCAGCACTAAATCCTCTGTGCTCTGCTAGAACAAGTATCTCAAATTATTTATTTATTTATTTTGGTTTTTCGAGACAGGGTTTCTCTGTAGCTTTGGGGCCTGTCCTGGAACTAGCTCTTGTAGACCAGGCTGGTCTCGAACTCACAAAGATCCGCCTGCCTCTGCCTCCCGAGTACTGGGATTAAAGGTGTGAGCCACCACTGTCTGGCTTAAGTATCTCAAATTATTATAGGTACTTTCACCTATGAGACTAAGTCACCTTGGAGTGGGAGAGATGGCACAGTGGTTAAGAGTACTGGCTACTCTTTCAGAGGACCCAGGTTCAATTCACTGCACCCATATGTGACTCAGCATTATCTGTCTATAATTCCACTCCCAGGATATTTGACATGCTCTTCTGGCCTGCATGGGCACCAGACATACATGTAGTGTAAAGTCATACATGCCTGGAAAACATTCGTAAACATAAAATAAAAAATTTAAAAACCTAAATTACCTAGTTTGGGAGAATGAAAGAACTCATCATGAAGTACTCTGGCACTTCAGCAAATATAAGACCAGATGTAAAGACTTTATCTTGCCACAGGAAGTAGGGGCGCACATCTTTAATCCCAGCACTCAGGACAGAAACAGGATCTCTGTGAGTTCGAGGCCAGCCTGGTCTACAGAGTGAGTTCCAGGACAGCCAGGGCTACATAGAAAAACCCTGTATTAGGAAGGAAGGAAGGAAGGAAGGAAGGAAGGAAGGAAGGAAGGGAAAGAATTTAGTTTCCCGTAACTCATATACATTACTTTTATAATAACATAACAAGTAATATATTTTAAAAGAACATATTTTCTAGTATATCATTCTTAGCATTGGGGATTATTGAGTATTTCACCTTTCAGAGATCTTATTTAAAATTCTATCTTGAAGAACTAGGTGAAAATAGCTTACTGTCATTCTGATTCACAACCTCTGATTGCCATCAAAAGGTCTTACTTACTCTTTGTAATCACCAAAAAATCACCTGTTTCTCCAGGGCTGAATTTAAAAAAAAAAATGCAGTCAAAATTAGGATCCTATTTCAATTGTGCAGATAACCTAAGTGCTCAAAGAACTACTTAATTTAACTATCTGCTCTTTGGCTTAAGCAAGCTACTGTAAATCATCTGGCTGGTATGAATTAGATTGTCTTAAAAAAATAATCCTGCTGGATGGTGGTAGAGCATGCCTTTAATCCCAGCACTCGGGAAGCAGAGGCGGGCAAATCTCTGTCAGTTCGAGGCCAGCATGGTCTACAGAGTGAGTTCCAGGACAGCCAGGGTTACACAGAGAAGTCCTGTTTCAAAAGACAAACAAATAAAATCCCGTGAATTGTATGATTTTTTTTTCATTGTAGAAGGCCAGTTAACTACTTCGCTTTCACGAATATACTGGGGGTATAGTCTGCGAGAGGATGGACAGCAGACCCTGGTAAGTAGCAGCTGTCTGTTTGACGCACATGAACAATATCAGTTTTTTGCTTCGGGAAAGTTCCAGTTCCTCATTATTCTGTTTCTACCCACTTACTTCAATTATTAATGCAAACTTTGTTAACTATCATTCATGTTACATTCATTTACTAGGAATAAAGAGTAACTGCACTGCTCTGTCATGAAGGAGAGATTTGTCTTTGCCTCTCCCAAAAATGTAAAAATAAATTATTACCTGACACAAGAATGAGGGATTCCATAGTTATACCCCGAAACATGAGAGACTCTTTGAATCACGGGAATATCACTGTTTCCTAGTTTTGGAGAAAAATAACTTGATGAAAAGAGCGAAGCGTCAGTTTCTGTCTGCATGTGAGCACCAGCAGCTGAGGCATTCAGGGTTCTTATTTTTGTTTGGTCCTGGGAGTCATCAGGTAGCATGTGTGCCAGCACTTTCAGGTAAGTGGATTTCTGCTCCTCTACAGATAAGTCTGATAGATTGCATGTTTCATTGCTGGCTGTCCTGGCTTTGCTATGAGCAGGAGAATCAAAATGCAGTTGTCTTCGGGGGCCAGATCTGAACTCCCGACGCTTGGTATACATGTTGCTTGTTTGAAGAGGACTCTCTGGGCTACTGAGGGCTTTATCCTCCTCCTGCATAATCTTAATGATTTTGATAAGTTGGAAAAGACGTCTGCGGTCGTTCATGTCATGAACTCCCAATTTGGAGTAGTCCTTCATTGTAACCTTTGCTAATTCATCTATTTTCTGAAGGCCAAGCGCAGTAAAATGAGGATAATACTGTGCAAGTTCAGCTTCACAAAGGCATTCATATAACCAGGAGGCCATTTTTGTGACTAGATTTACATGAACTCTGAAGAAAAAGAGAAAAAGAAGTCATCTATATAGGGTAAACAGAATATATTCCTTTACAAATGAAAACATAAATATGCAGGAAAATGTTTCTCATCTCAGGTTTCCTAGGAATGTTTCTTCTGGAATGATTAATTAAACAGCAGAGTCTATAAGCAAAGCTGCTTTATAACAGCATATGAAGTAACAGCTGTAATTTATTCATCTGTTTAATAATGTTTCCTAATTATATATTTAAGTAAATACATATGGACACATATAACATAAAGCACTTACTTATTGCTTGGGAATTCCTTTTAACTTTGCAGTGTCTGCTTAACAGGCAATACACTGCTGAAATCTTGCTCTCAGCCACTGACTGTAGCAGGACTAATTTTAGATGTTCAACTCAATGTCAAGGCAGGTTGCACAACTGTTTCCTAAGATTAATCAACAAAGGCTAAGAAGTCTTTCAGAATAGAAAGCAGAATAAAATAGTGACCACAAGGATAATTAACACAGCTCAGAGAAAACTGCATCTTTTATCTACTGTGTATTGGTAAACTAGAGAGAAGTAAAAACAACCAATTCAGAATCAACTCACTCAGTATTTCAGATAATTCTAAAAGGTGATCACAGATGTCAACTGAACAGAATATCAATCAAATAAATTTTTTCTAGGAAATTAATACTACAGTCACTTTGAACAACTACACAATATAACACTTAAAATCAGAAATTTAATTAAACACTAAGAGATGATGTGGTAATAATACAAAATCTTTGTCAGAATTCTGAGTAATTCTCAATTATTCCTGTTAATCAAGCTCAAGTTCCTAAGAATATAAAAAATAATTTTCAATAGCATTTTAAAATATTTAACTAATATTTTAAATGTATGTGTGAATGTACATGTACATGTATGTGTGTGTGCCCACACATGTGCGTGCACGATTATACCGCCAGAAAAGGGTGTTGGATCCACTGGAGATGAAGTGCTAGAACTTGAAAATGAGTCCTCTGGAAAAATAATACATACTGTCTCCTCAGCCTCTGTTTTGTTCATTTGGGGGAGGAGGGATTTCTCTGTGTAGCCTTGGCTGTCCTGGAACTATAGACCAGGCTGGCCTTGAACTCAGAGATCCACCTGCCTCTACCTCTTACGGGAATTAAAGGCAACCATCCAGCCTGTTTTTGTTGCTGTTGTTTGTATAGCCTGGATAGCCTAGGCTGGTTTGGAGTTTGCTGTGCAGTCCAGGTTGGCCTCAAATTTGTGGTAATCCCCTTGTCTTGGCCTCCCAATCTCTAGGATTACAAGCAGGAACCACCATGCCTAAAAATTTAAAATTTTTTAAAATTATTACTTATTATATGTGTATGAGTGTTTTGTCTGTATGTATGTCTGTGCGCCATATGTGTGCCTGGTGTCCAAGGAGGCCAGCAGAGGACGATGGATCCCTCGGGACTAAAGTTACAAACTAGAATTGTGGAACCCAAGTCCTTAGCAAGAGTAGCCAGTGTTCCTAACTGTGGGGCCATCTCTCCAGCCTCTTATATTTTCTTTTTCAAAATGGTCTAATACTTCAGAGCTTCCAAAACTCAAATAATTACTGAAGAATTGCTTTCATTTTCATTTATTTTTGTCCTTTCTAGGAGAAACAGTGTGTGTGTGTGTGCGCGCGCGTGTGTGCGTAAAGACAACCAAGGAGTTCTGAGTAATTAAATTTGGAGAAAATACTATTTAGGCAAAACAAAACACCAAATGTCTGAGTACCTAACCCTAACACATATCCTAAACTGACACCGTCTTTTAGTGATGGGTTTCCCCTCTGCAAAAGCCCACAAAAGTTTTGCAGTCCTTCCATCAAGGGTGGAGTGTATTTCTTCCCCACATTACATCTAGAATGACTTTCTAGTTTCTTTTGGGCAAGAGAATGCAGTAAAGCAGACTGCCATGCCCAGGTCTAGAGCGCCATCATAGCTGTTACCGTTGACAGAATTCTTCTACTGCCACGTGAAGAAGTTTAGCCAATAGCTAGAGGCTCATACATTACTACTACAACTTTAATGGCCAAAAACATATGTGCAAGAGAAGCCATCTTAGACTAGATGTCACTAGATGAGTGTTTCTCAACTTTCCTAATGACGCAACCCTTTAATACAGCTCCTCAGGCTGTGGTGACCCCCAACCATAAAATTATTTTCGTTGTTACTTCATAACCTTAAACTTGCTACTGCTGTGAATCGTAATGTCAGTATCTGTTTTCCAATAGTTTTAGGTGACCCTGTAAAAAAGTGGTTTGACTCCCCTGCGAGGGATCACGACCGGTTAAGAACCAGTGCACTAGACAGTCACAGTCACAGGAATGACTCCAAGTGAGATCAAGTAAAGAACTAAGCTTGGTCCAAATAATTGACTCACAGAGCTTTAAGCAAATAAAAGGACAACTATTTTGAGTCAAGTTTGAGGCTGGATTGTTATGTAACAGTAATTACAACTTCATTTCTGAAACTTTGCCAATTTTATATGCAAATTTAGGGGCTATTTTAGGTTCACAGAAAAACTGAGAAGGTAAAAACTTGCCAAACAGCCTGTGTCGCACATGTACTCTTTTCCCCACTAGTGAACCTACATTGATAAAAAATCATTACCCAAAGTCTACAGTTTACACTGGAGTTCTTACCTAGAGCTACAGAACTTATGGACTTGGATAGATAGTACATGCATCCTCTATTTAAGTAAAACATGGACTAGTTTGATTGCCCTAAAACTCCTGGGCTCTGTCTACTCACCCTTCGTAAGCTCTATCCAATAGTGACTAATGATCTCTTTGTCTGAAAGGTAGGGGGTGGGGCAGGGTCTCACTGTATAGCACTAGCTGTCCTGGAACCCACTACTGTATATCAGGCTCCCCAAGTGTTGGGATTAAAGATGTGAACCCATATCTGCCCAATGATCTTTTTATTGCTTCCACAGTACCTTTTCCAGAATGTCACATAGTAGGAAGTATGCAGCCTGTCAGCTTTTAGACTGGCTTTTTCAGTTCATAATTTAAACTCCCTCCAAGATTTTTTTTATGGTGTGTTAGCTTATTTCTTTTCACTGCTGAAACCCATTTCACATGTGAATGTGCCTGGTTTATTTATTTTTTCATTTAATGAAGGACATCTTAGAGGCTTACAGTTTGGGCAATTACAAATAAAGCTTCTATAAACAGCCATGCAGTTTTCACATGGACATAATTTTCAACTCCTTTCTGTAAATACCAAGGTGCATGATTACTGGGTTGTATGGTAAGACACGCTTAGTTTTATAAGAAATTGTCAAACTACTCCCTAAAGTGGCTGTACTATTTTCATCCCTACAAGTGATGACTGGGAACGCCAGGTGCTTCCTATCATTTGTCATTGCGTGTGTTACACCCTTCCTTTCAAGACTGCTCAAGAGCTTTTCACCAAGATAAGATTTTCATCTCTAGATTTTTTTCTATCATTTTACCCCCAACACCTTACATTGTATCAAAACTAAACCACCAATCCTCTTACGACTATTTTCTTCCTCCCTAGAATATCTGTCTTTGTCAGAAGGACACTGCAGTTTTCTATCACGATGGAGATAGGCCCTAATAGGGAATACATGGTACTCTGTGCCTCAGCAACCATTATACCGTCTAGTATTTACTGTGTATTTAATACATACCACCCACTGTTCTGGGCATTGTATTTGTTCATCTCCACACAATCCTATAAAGGAGGTAAGTGTGTAGCAAGTTCAATCACTTACTATTTCAGGAACTCACTTTTTCAATTGTGAATAAGGAATGCCATAGAAGCATTCTGAAAACCCAACATCTGAAATCCCAACACTGAGGCAAAGGGAAGCATTGCAAGGTCAAGGCCAGCCTGGGCTATATGAGACCCCATTTTTTGGTTTATTTGTTTAAAAAAAATATTTGGGACGTAAGGAGGCAGCTCAGTCAGTAAAGTGTCTCACAAGCATGAAGACCTGAGTTTGATTCCCTTAAAAAAACAAAAAACAGAAAACAAGTGTGGTAGTGTTTGACTGTAATGTCAGTGCTGGGGAGGTGGAAACAGGAAGCTCTTTGGAACTCAATGGCCCACCAAACTGACTGAATCCCAAAGTTTCAGATTCAATAAAAGATCCTCCCTGGTGATGGTGGCATACACCTTTAATACCAGCACTCAGGAGGCAGAGACAGGTGGATCTCTATGAGTTCGAGGCCAACCTGGTCTACAGAGCAAGTTCCAGGATAGGTTCCAAAGCTACAGAGAAACCCTGTCTCAAAAACAAAACAAAACAAAACAAAAAATCCTGTGCAAGATAGAGCTCTGTCTCACGAAAGAGAAAAAGAAAAGCTGGAGAGCAGCTGAGGGAGACACTCACTGACTTCATGTGTACGTGCACCTCCCTCCACCCCTCAAGTATGTGTTTAGTAGTGGGGACCTGTAACCCAAGCACTTGGAAGGCTGAGATAGGACTGCCTTGGGTTTGAGGTAGGTTCTAGCAACAAAGTTACATAGAAAGTTTGAGGTCAATTTGGACTACATGACACCTTGCTTCAAGACACTGAAGGGAGAAGAAGACAATCAAATTCTTCAGATTGAATATGGAAATACCAGTAGGGGTTGGGGATAGAGCTCAGTTTATATCACACTTAATTAACATGCATAAAGTCCTAGGTTTGCTCCCAAGCACTGCCAAATTCTAGGCATGTTAACATGTACCTATAATTCCAGCATGTGGGGAGGTAGAGGCAGGCAGATCAGAAATTCAAGACATTCTTAGTTATAGAGCAAGTCTGAGGCCTGCCTGAATGAAAGACAGACAAACAAGCCAAGCAAAATAAGCCTTGGCAGTTATTACCATTGCTATTGTTATTTCTGCATTTCTCCCTATCTTCACCACCTAGCACAGAACCAAGAACAGAACTTAATCTACCTTCGGTGTTTTGGTTTAATCAAATTCTAAGCAGCTGCACTCTCTGTTTGGCTCAGCTTACCCATGGGAACAGGCTGTAAGTGCCATGCACAAGCTATGCAAGATTCTGTATTTTGCACACCAATTCCCTTGGTGCCATATCAAACATTTCTCAGTTCAACTCTGATAATCAGTCTCCACTGCTTCTTAACAAGTAAATGAGACTAAAATATTAATTTTGAAACTCTTGTATAACCTATAATATCATGGGAAGAGAAAAATGTAAGAATAATTTGAACATGCATTAAGCATGAGTTGAAGTAGTCAGAGTCATGCATCTACACAGTTGCAGCCCTCCCACCTTTTTGGGCACTATGGATAGCCTATGTTCCTTTGTTTTCAAACTCAACATGCTTCTCCGTAATTGTAGTCTGCTTTACAAGGGTTTATCCCCTCCTTTAACTCCTGAAGTAAGTATCAGAATCACTCTTGCAACTTCAAACAAAAAACATTTAAACTCTACTACTGAGCCACAGAAAAACAAAATAAACCCCCATATTTGGGGGATAGATATATTGACATTTTGCTCAGATGATAATTTTACTTTACTGATCTACCTCTGTCAAAAAGACAAATGCAAAGGCTGTGGAGGGATATCAGCAGTAGAGCACACGCTTAGTGTGAGCAAGGCCCTGGGCTCTGGAGGCAGCTGTTCAGAGGTTAAGAGTGATTACTGTTTAGGCAATGAAGTTGAGAGGCCTGGAGTTCTGATCCCAGTCCCACATAACAAACTGGGCAATCTGCAAATGCCTATACTTCCAGTTCCAAGGCATTTGATGTCTTCTGGCCTCTCCTCACCACAGGTATATGTATCTATGCAAATATGCACATATATCACAATATGTGCACACAGAAGTCAACTATTACATAGCAAAAGTGTTGGTAGCTAGGTCTTTCCTAATATGATTTGTACATACTACTCACATAGATGCACACATATGTATAAAAATAAATTTTTATAGCCAGGCGGCGGTGGTGCACACCTTTAATCTCAGCACTTGGGAGGCAGAGGCAGGCGGATCTCTCTGAGTTTGAGGCCAGCCTGGTCTACAGAGCTATTTCTAGGACAGCCAATGCTACACAAAGAAACCCCGTCTTGAAAAAAAAGCCAATAAATAAATAAAAATAAATTTTCATAAAATTTATTCACTCCCCAGTAATTCTAACTCTAGAAATATCCTACAGCTATTCTGTACAAATATAAAAAGACAGAAGTACAAAGTCATATCACTATTGGTAATAGCAAAGGATGGAGACTGGTTAAATAAATTACTATTGCCTTTCAAGGGAAAAAACACAATGAAGCAATTACAAAACTTAACTAAACTCTCCAATAGTTATTGAAGAAAAAGAAAGCTTTCCAATATATTGCTAAGTGAATAAAGTAAGGTACAGAATAGTTCATAAAGGCATCATTTGTTAAAGAGAACGTTAATTGATCCAAAATAGAACCGTATCATTGCTTATCAGGCATAAATGTGCTTGGCAGGTTGCATGAGTACTGACAGTAGTCTTTTGCAGGAAGGGAAATGGGTACTACTAGTGGACAATCAAGAGAAGTAGCCTACTACAGCAAAAGTTGTTGGCCATTGTTTTTTCTAAAGTGATCTGTATTTCACTGACGTCTCCAGTAACCAGCAGGACTGAGAACACTGTTGTGCATGTGCTTAAATCTGAAACTATTTTTTAAAATATTTATTTATTTATATTTTACATACATTGGTGTTTCGCCATGAGTGTTGGGTCTCCTGGAACTAGAATTACAGATAGTTGTGAGCTGCCATGTGGTTGCTGGGAATTGAACCTGGGTCCTCTGGAAGAGCAGTCAGTGTTCTTAACCACTGGGCCATCTCCCCAGTCCTGAAACTATTTTTAAAAAATTTATGTGTTATTATTTTTTCTACATGTATATCTGTGCATCATGTGTGTTCCTGGTGCCCTCAGAGGTCAAAAAAGGTCACTGGATCCCTAGAACTTGAGCGGGTCATCCCAAGAGCAGCAAGGGCTCTTTAATCATTGAGGTATCTCTCCAGCTCAATAATACTATTATTAATTAATAAAAAATACAACACATTTCAGCGCTGGAGAGATGGCTCAGTAGGTAAAGTGCTTGCTGCACAAGCGTGGAGATATGAGTTTGGATCTCCAGCACCCACATAAAACTAGATGTGAGAGAACATGTCTGTAATACCTGGGGAAGAGACAGAAGGATCCTCAGTGCTTGCTGGTCAACACTCTAAGCTCCAGTCTGTTTCAAAAAATGAGGTGGAAAGTTGGTAACATGATTCAGTGGGTAACAGAATTTGCTGTACAGCCTAACGCCTTGAGTCTGCTCTCCAGGGCCACATAGTGAGAGAAGAGCATCAGTTCCAGTAAGTTATCCTCTAATTTCCACACATAAACTGTGCAACACATGTCTACACACGAAATAAATTAAAACATAATAAAAATATATACTAAAATGTAAAGGCAGAGAGCATTCTTATTTTAAGATGTTAAATAAGATAGATCTTCATTTTAAATATCTGTTAGTAAACCAAAGAGTACTAACTAATACAGATTACTAAATTAGGAGGCAAAAAAAACCCTTCATCTAGTTCAGCTCTGCTAAGAACCTGAGAAGCAGATGTGATACATGGTCAAGTTATTTAACATCGATGGGGCTTGGATCGTGTTTTTTTTTTCTTTAAAGTAATTTTATTAAATTATAAAAGTTTCCATTTCCGCCCCTCCTCCCACCACCCTCCCCCTCCCCCCAGAGGGTGTTAGATCGTGTTTTGTCTTAGGTTTTCTGCAACAGTAGAGACCAAACCAGAACCTTACAGGGCCTTATTAATGTTAGGCAAGCACTGTAACATTGAGCTACCCTGCTGCCCTCTTAACTTTGTTTTGTTTGTTTTGAGATAAGGTTTCTCTGTGTAACAGCCCTTGCTGCTCCTGAATACCCTTTGTAGACCAAGTTGGCCTTGAACTCACAGAGATCTGCTAACTAAAGGTGTACACCACCAACACCCAGCCTGACTTCTTATAGAAAGACAAAATAAGTATGTTTCCAAGCATGGAGCTTAATACTAAAGAAATCATTCATTGCTTATTTGAAATTCAAACTGAATTTTGTTTGGTCTAAATCTGGCTATCCTACATTAGAAGCAGCATCTACATTTCTGGCAAAATGTTCTGTCAGTGTTATTTAGCACATGTTTCATGCACACAGAATCAGACTATACACAAATGTCTGCAAGGACTGCAGCCTGATCCCCTTGCTGAGAGAGTCTCTCTTTAAATTAATCTAGGAGTTTCACTCATTGGGGATCAATACCTCCTTACTTATTTCATTAGGAGCTGTAAATTGGTAATTTTCTGATCCTCTCCTTCTTTAGGAATTCTCCTTAGGAAACCTTTCTGGGGACTAGAGAGATGGCTCAGCAGTTCAGTGTACTTGTGCTCTTGCAGAGAATTTGATTCGGTTCCTAGGGATAAACATGGTGCCACACAACTGACAATAATTCAGTTCCAGGGGATCTAATACTCTATTCTGGCCTCCAACAGCCAATCACATAAGTGGTACACAGACATACATGCAAGCATGTAAACATACTCATAAAGATTTTAAAAAGAGCTGGGAGGTGTTGGTGTGTTCCTTTAATCTCAACACTTGGGAGTTTGAGGCCAGCCTGGTCTACAAAGGGAATTCCAGGACAGTTACAAAGAGAAACCCTGTCTCAAAAGAGAGAGAGAGAGAGAGAGAGAGAGGGAGAGAGAGTGAGAGAAACTTTCTGTCAACAACTAGGGCTATCTGATTACTTAAAACAGAATTTTTACGTGAAGGCAAGTATAAATGATTTTTTTCCTTTAAATTTTCAATTCATAAAGAATGTCCTACTTATTTTAAATGGTATCAGGTGACTTATTTCAGAATTTTAATTTTTTTTCATCAGATTCATGATTAATTCTAGCATTTTTTCATATTCCATGTTTTTCATTAAATTGCCTTAAGCCTTTGATAGCTTCATCATGCATATTTTCCGTCTAACCTGGAAATAAGCTTTCCTTCAATGAATACATGGCTGTTATAATTAGCCACCCACAGGCCTAAATTCAGGTGAAGGTTATGCATTTCCAGTTAAGGACAGAGAGCCTGAAGATGGGGAAAGGAAAGAGTAAAGTTGACAACGCTTGTTCTTTAGAGACCTGCACAGCTCCAGACGCCCACAACTACTCTAGGGACACTGCTATTCACTTCACACGCTCAGTCATCTCTCTAGCTCCTCAATGCTACCAATGCTGTGACTTCTAGAAATTTTATGAAGGAGTTTAAACTATTATACAGGATGAGACCAGGTGGTGGTGACACACACTTTTAATCCTAGCCCCTGGAAGGCAGAGGCAGGCAGATCTCTGAACTGAGGCCAGCCTGGTCTGCAGAGTGAGTTCCAGGATAGACAAGGCTACATGGAGAAACCCCATCTCAAAAGAACAAAACAAAACAAAGAAACAGACAAAAAAGAGAATATAGGATGAGAATTTTAAAAGCTAAACTAGGTGTCATTTTACTTATTATTACTTACACACTGGAATTAAGAATTTACCATTAAGAGGGCTTAGTGATCTATCACGAATCTATTATAAGAACACTTATAGCTCTTGCAAAGGACCAGGGTTCAGTTCCCAGGACCCACATGGTGGCCCATGACCATGAGTAACTCCTGTTCAAAGCCTCCTCCTGGCCTCCAAAGGCATTTGCATGAATATGGTACACAGGAACTCACAGAGACACAAATGTTTACACATAAATTACAAAATAAATACTTTCTTGTGTGTATTTTGAGACAGGGTTTCTATGCAGTCCTGGCTGTCCTAGAACTTGCTATGTAGACCAGGTTGGTCTCTTCTGCTGAAATTAAAAGTGGACACCACCACAATTGGCCTAAGAAGTTGTTTTTAAAAAGAATTTATCATCAAGGCTGGGAAGATGGCCTAGTGGATAAAGCCCTCTTGCCCCATAAAGCTTAAGTTTAAACCAGAGTTCAGATTCCCAGGATCCATTTAGAAGTTGGATAGGTAGGGAGGGAGCTGGAGATATGGCTTAGAGGTTAAGAGCTCTGGCTGCTCTTCTAGAGTTCCTGAGTTCAATTCTCAGCAACCACATCTGGTGTGCTCTTCTGGCATGCAGGCATACAGGCAGACAGAACACTGTATATATAAAGAAAGTTGAGTAGATGTGTTAGCTGTCACCCAAGTACTTGGGAGACAAATCCAGGAACTCTCTAAGAGAAGCTGGTTTGCTCTTGCTAAGACTATCAATCAGCAAGCTCTCATTTCAGCTAAGAGACCCTGCCTCAATAAACACTATGGAGAGTAATCAATTTCTGGCCTCCTCATGCACACACACACATGTACACACACATCTGCCCACACACATGCACATTACATACACGCAATGAAACAGAAATTAAAGTTATCCATGAATAGTCTCATTACATTGTAACCCTAAGGATGTAAATGGAGTTCCTTGACATAAAGGAAAAAAGATCCATTAACCAATAAGATTCAAAACAACTGGTTAAGTATGCTACAAGACAAAATTTTTTGTTTGGTTGTTTTTCCGAGACAGGGTTTCTCTGTGTAACAGTTCTAACTGTCCTGGAAATTGCTCTGTAGACCAGGCTGGACTTGAACCAGAGATCTGATTGCCTCTTCTGGGATTAAAGGTGTGTGTCACCACCACCTGGTCTCATCCTGTATTCTCTATTTATAGTTTAAACTCCGTAGTAAAATTTTTAGAAGCCACAGCTATACTTTTACAGGTAAAACTGAAGGGCCGGAGAGATGGTCTGGCCTACAAGACAAACTTAATAATGTAAATATTTTAGAAGATAGAGATGTTGGAGAGCAGCTTTATATTCAGTCAGGCAGAAACATATGGATCTCTGTGGATTCCAGGCCAGCCAAAGTTACATAGTAAAACCCTTCTTAAATAAATAAGTAGATAGATAGATATTTAATTTTAAAAGGTTTGTCTGATCTCAAACACCCTCCACAATAACTAGTTCAAAAAGATTCCAAGAAAAAAGACAAATAGGTAAAGGAAGTTGGACATCAAAGTTGATGACTGTTGACTTTGTTTAGGTCTCCTACATTCACACTACAAAGCAGCAATGATTTTACTTAATCACTGAATAAAGACAACAAATTATCTGTGCTGCTGCTCTTCCCTCGGGCACCTGCAGCACAACTCCAAATAATCTATTTCTATGTTCTTTCTTATTGTACAATGAAACTGCCTCCAAATTTCTCTTCTGGCTTGTATATGTGATAACATATAACTTCATAAGCTATATGATAGCTCTATTCACCTGTAGAACCACAATTAAGATACAGACCCACTACTCTCAAAAGACTCCAAATGGGGCTGGAGAGATGGCTCAGAGGTTAAGAGCACTGCCTGCTCTTCCAAAGGTCCTGAGTTCAATTCCCAGCAACCACATGGTGGCTCACAACCATCTGTAATGGGGTCTCCTCTTCTGGCATGCAGGCATATACACAGACAGAATATTGTATACATAATAAATAAATGAATGAATAAATATTTAAAAAAAAAAGACTCCAAATGCCTGTTTGCATGCCTTGCTTTCCTCTGCTCCTGGTGAAGATTACCACTGACCTACTTCCTGGCTTTATGTATTATTTATATTCCCTAAATTTTACCTAAGAAGATAAATTTTCTTGTATCTACTGTCTTTTGTTTACCAAAATGATTTTGAGATTTATTTGCAATACTATCATTACCCTTTCCTTCTACTGGAAAGAAGAAAGATTCATAACGAACCTGCGTGTTGGCCAGAGTAACAAGTGACTTCCAAAATTGGAATTTAAGTCTTCTCATGTCTCACATTTGTTCTTTCCATTACCTCAGACAGGCTCAGTCACTCCCCACTTAGCTGACCCCTAGTACATGGAGTAGCTCACAGCTGTCACTACCAGAAAAATGAACAGCAAATTAGTGAATTCCATGGTGAGGGAGGACGATGGGCAGATTTTTTACATACTGGCTGTCCTAGTATTCAACAGCACAAATATGTGAAGCTCTCCTTTGTGGCAAGCCTGGAGACTGCTAGCTCCCAGCTGTCGATGTAACAATCAGAAATAGTTTTGGTATGCCAGCAGCAAATTATCTCAAAAAAAGGGGGGGTGGGGAGAGGGAAGAAAATACTTAGGAATAAATTTAACCAAACCAAAAAAAAAAAAAATCAAAGATCACGTTAGGCATGGTGTCACACAACTTTAACCCCAGCATTCTAGGGACAGAGGCAGTAGGATATCCGTGAGTTCCAGTTTCAGGTCAGTGCCTGGTCTACATGTCAAGTTCCAGGATAGCCAGGATTACATAGAGAAACTTGTCTAAAAGAGAGAGATAGAAGGAAAAAAGAAAGTGAAAGGAAGGAAGGAAGGGAAGATCTCTGCAATAAAAACTACTAAAACATTGATGAAAGATCACTAAAAATTGGAAAAACTTTTCATGAACTTCTCAGAAGAATCAACACTGTTAAAACATATAACCCAAAGCAAAGATTCAAAACCAAAATAAAGAAATAAATTCCAATAAAAAAACACCAAGGCCAGATTGGCTGCAGACTAGAAAACCTACCTTCTGTTGGAAAAAAGTTTGGGGTTGCAAAGTTGCAAATAAAGGTAGACATACCAACTGAAGTGTCTGGACAAAGCAAAACTTTACTCTGGATCAAGAGGGTGCACTGCTTGTGAAAGAAAGAGAGAGAGGGAGAGAGAGAGAGAGAGAGAGAGAGAGAGGGAGAGAGAGGGAAGGAGAGAGAGAGGAAGGAAGGAAGGAAGGAAGGAAGGAAGGAAGGAAGGAAGGAAGGAAGGAAGGAAGGGAAAGAACATGCACACAAGGGCAGGAAGGACACCTGATTTATTTGTTTTGTTTTGTTTTTTGAAACAGGGTTTCTCTGTGTAGTCTTGGCTATCCTGGAACTTGCACTGTAGCCCAGACTGGTCTCCCAATCATAGAGATCATGTCTCTGCCTCCCCAGTGCTGGGATTAAAGGTGTACACTACTACTGCCTGGCATGCATCTGAGTTTTATCCTAACACAGGTGCTGTGTCCTTTCAATTAAAAGATTTGGCATAAAGAAAATGAAGGAAAGGGGGATGGGGAAGGCCACTTAAAACAGTCAAAGTCTAAGACAGTAACAGGGCCTTTGTGTAAACAAAGACTTAGCTGCAGCTGATGACGGTGGGAAGGGATTTAAAACATTTGTATACAGTTTTTTTTTAGAGGTAGGGAAGAGGTACCAGCTCCACCATATATATGATATGTATATATATCACAGAAATGGCACAGCTTAAGTTTTAGACTGAGCAGGCAAGCAGGTAGCACCGTATTGGACCTGGTGATGTCACAGCTTATATTTTTAAGCACTTAGCAAGCAAAAGTGCTCCTGGACAGCAAAGAATTACAGAAAATGCAATAAGGACAGATTCAGACATAAAAGAACTATAAATGGGTCACGGTGTTGGATGAATGTACGCAGGTTTGGGAGAGAAAAGAAAAAGAGTATAGAGAGTTGGAAAAGAAGTAAATCATTTAAAAAAGTCTTTAAAGAGACAGAGTACAGATAGTCATAGATTAAAAGGAGTAAAGAAAAATAAGCCACGTAAAGATGGAAAATTCGCAGAGAATCTGGATTATGTATATTATTGTGTTTTCTTTGAATTATTTGACTGTGAATGAGCTAAGTACAAAGAGACATTTCATTGTATGGGCTGCTATGCTAAACTAGCATGTATATTATAAAGGTATCATGACTTTCAAATTTGGGTCTAAGGATATGCTGCTTTGGAAAAGTTCTTATCTTGTTTCCACGGAAGATGAGAACCTGTGGATTGCTTCCAGACAAATATGGTTTCATAGACCACACCCCCCTGAAAGGTTGCCATGAATACCCTCAAAAAATTATTTTGCCCAACTGCTGGACTGAGGTGAATTTAGCATACAGGATACACCATGAAAGACCTGATTAACAGCACCCCCAAACAGCAGGAAGCAGTATGGACAAAACTATGCCCATATTCCCAATTATTGTTTATAATTGTTTGTTCACATTTAAAGGGGGATATGACATAGATATGAATAATTTGCATTGTAAGAATCTTGGTTTACTGATACAAATTTAAGGTCAATTTTGTTATATGTATATGTATTTCTGATCTTGACTGAGGTATTGTGATTGTGTAGTTCATTTAAAAATGAAATGTATAATTAAGAAATATAGGTTAATAGATAATCTTCTATAATAGTGAAGTTTGTAGTCATGTTAGTTAGATTTTTTTAGATGTGCAGAGAAGTATTTCGGAAGGATAGGGATTCTTCAAATCTTTCAGAGACCTTCAGAATATGGCATTTAAAATGTTTTAAAAATTTAGGTCTTTTCATGACAGTGAGACACATCTGCTCCTGGCAGCATCATTTTTCTTCAAAAGGAAGATGGGCATTAAAGAGGCTCCTTATAGAGTTTGTTAGACGAACTAGACATGCAGGATCCACAGAGAAATGACTGCTGAACTTGCTTAAAGATGAGATGATCCTTTGGGGTTCCTGTTTCATAAAAGAGTCTGTGAGACATTCTGCAGGATAGAGAAGAAAGTGACTGGCAAAGTGCCAACACAGGCAGACCTGTCTTTGAAATTTCCTGCTTTGTGGAAAAGTCTGCTGGATACTATGGGCCTGTAGGTCGAAGATGGATGTCCCAATGATACAGAAGAACTTTGGGTGACTGTCCAGGTAGCGAGATGTCTCTGTCAATTCTAGAATTTTGGAAGTTGTTTACAATGTACTTCCTATTTACTTAGATAATATTATATCATTCTGGAGTCTTTGATGGAGTTGAAGAATAGATAGTAATAATATAGTTTTCCTGAGTTATGATAAAAGATAAAATAGATATAAATATTGTAATTTTTATTTGATACCTGTTTTGTTATATGTAATTTTACTATGTTAAAAGTAAAGCCTTCCTTTCTATTTAAACAGAAAAGGGGAGGTGATGTGGGAATCCTCTGTGTGCTATCATTATCATTAATGAATAAAGAAACTGCCTTGGCTTGTTGATAGGGCAGATCATAGGTAGGCAGGGAAGACAGAACTGAATGCTGGAAGAAAGAAGGGTAGAGCCAGAGAGACACCATGGATCCACTGACAGAGTCAGAAATGCTGGAACTTTGCTGGTAGACCACAACCTCGTGGTGATATTCAGATTAATAGAAATGGGTTAAATTAAGATTTAAGAGTTAGCCAATAATAGAGCTAATGGGCCAAGCAATAATTTAATTAATACAATTTCTGTGTGGTTATTTCGGGGCTGAGCATCCGGGTGGCCAGAACAAACAAGTGGCCTCCTTCCCCCCTACACAGAAAAGGTCATCAGTTCAAAGCTGTCCAGGGGCAAACAGGATGGATTTCTGCTAAGAGTTTTTCAGGTTTACCTGCTTTTAGGTGGGAGCAAGTCAGCAAGTATGAGGAACCCTAGGGTAAGTATAAAAATTCAAAAAATATAAGCATCGGACTCTAATGTTGCCTGCTTGTATGTAAATTATCACTACACATCACACACAAATACACACATACAAGTTAAAAACAGATACAATATAACTCAACATTCTTGATCACTTCTTATAAAACATTTCTGTACCTCAGGTTAGGTATTAGATCCTGAATAACACACAAGAAATTCCATATTCTAAGAGGCAAATTAGAAGTTAAACACTACAGTTTACTCTTCCCTCTCAAGAGAACCAGTTACTTCAAACTTCAGGGATTATCCTATCTATAGATGACTGAGCTTTAAGAAGACAAAGGAAGGGACAACTGTTTAAAGCAACAGCTGCAGAGGAACTAGAACAGATGGTACTCAGTGGAATTCCTAAGGTCAGCTGTGGACATTTGGACACTAATATGTGAGTTACTATCATAATACTTTAAAAAAAATTACTCTGAGACTATTTTGATTTGTAACTGAAAGAAAAAGTTCTTTTATGATTAACTATAAATACTCTATGATCTGCTTCAAGACCTGCCCTTAACAGGTTTATTAAGTTTTTAAGTTTGGTGGCAATCACCTAAAAATGAACATAATAAAATTGCTGAACCCAGTCATCTTAAGTCAACACAAATATAATAGTCTCTATATAGAGAGGTTTAATTCTGAATGCACTAACAGGGACAGGTAGTAACCAATGTTGGAGTTAAATTCAGAGGTTTATTTTTAAAATTTAAAATTTTGGTCTAATCCAATCTCAGGAACTTGTCACTTAAAAGATTTTTGCCAGTTGTAGCCATAAAACCACGTCAACAAACCATATCTCATGTGTTTTCCTGGAAAAATAATGGCTACAATTAGTCTTTATAAATTTCCAAGCTGGTTGGGTGGAGGTGGGGTACCTTTAGTCCCGGCGCTAAGGAAACAAAGGCAGGAGAATCTTGGCCATCCTGGTCTACAGAGCTAGTTTCAGAACAGCCAGGGCTACACAGATAAATCCTGTCTTGAAAAACCAATTTGCTTTTTAAAGTTAAAAAAAGTATATAAATAACCTCATTTACTGTGATCTAAATTATTAACATGTAATGGTGCTATTCAATTAATCTTTCATTTTTCATAAATGGATAAAGTGAGGAATAATTTTATTTATTCAAAACAATGACATGAATTTTCTAGAAGAGTAAATGGTTATCTATATATTTGCCACATTAGTATAGACCACTAGTTTTTGTTTGTTTGTTTGTTTGTTTGTTTGTTTTTTAAGACAGGGGTTCTCTGTGTAGCACTGGTTGTCCTGGAACTCGCTTTATAGAGCAGGCTGGCTTGAAACTCAAGAGATCTCCCTGCCTCTGTCTCCCAAGTCCTGGGATTAAAGGCTTACTCCCAGCAAGAACCAATCATATGTCAACATAAATAGATGGCTAACTAAAAACAGACTACTAGATAGATAGACAGACAGACAGACAGACAGACAGACAGATAGATATAGATACAGTTTTTTCCTCATTGCTGGTGAATTCTCAACTTGAAATTGTGGCCTGGATATAATATACTATTCTAGATACTAGTTAAATACCAGTATTATGCAATGCTTCCAAATACTAGGTAAGTTCACTTCATAGTAAAAGAGACAACTATATGTTTTTTGTTGTTTTTGTTTGTTTGTTTTCTGATATGATGTCTCAGGTAGCCCAGGCTGACCTTAAATTCCAAGAGTCCAGAATAGCTCTAACCTTTGAACCTGCCTTCTGACACTTTCTCCTGTCTACTTACACTTCTTAAGTGCTAAGCATTTGTGACCATGACTGTTAGTTTTATGTGGTCCAGGGGATTGAATTCAGGGTTTCAGGCATGCTAGATAAGCAAGTACTCTTATCAACTGAACTCTATCTTCAACCCATCACAGTTAAAATGATTCCATGACTGAACAAATGAATCATGTAACAATAATAGAACTTATCACTTCCTTACAAAAGTCAGGGGTAGTGGCACACCGTTTTAATCCCAGTAGTAGGGAAGCAGAGGCAGGCAGATCTGAGTTTGAAGTCTGTCTGGTCTTATCTGTCCCAAACCAATCAACTAACTATCTATTCCTCTGCTGAACTATTCTTTGGGGTTAGGGAAGTAGGTGCTGGTACCACTTAGACCTGAAATAGAAAGCATATTAGATTCCTTCCTCTCCTTTAACCTTGAACCTACAACTACTACCACCACTGCTACAATTGTTACTGCCAATATTACTACCACTAAAACCGTCTCTTGTTTGAGATGTAGCTCAACTCAGTAGTGAAGCATTTACCAAGCATGCTTATTAAGGCCCTGGGCTCCATCCCTAGCACTCCAGGATTAGGTCTTGACCACGCTGTTACCTAGGCTGGTTTCAAACTGTTGGATTAGGGTGATTTTCCTGCTTCAGCTTTCAAGCAGCTAGGACTACAGACTACAGTCTATGTTATACTTGACTCCAGTATTCATTTAACTGTGTGTGTGTGTGTGTGTGTGTGTGTGTAGACAATGTCTCTCTATGTATCCCTGTTGGCTTAGAACTCACTAAACAGACCAAACTGGCCTTGAACACACAGAGATCCATCTGCCTGTCTCTGGAGTACTGGGATTAAAGGTGTGCACCAACCCACTACCAGCCTCATTCAACAAAACTTGTTAAGGACCTACTCTACATAAAGATTGAACAAGTTTACTGAGTCTCCATGGAGAAACTGGATTAACAGATCACAAATACTAAATGAGGAAATGGAGAAAAGTTCAACCCTTCACTATACAAATAACACAACAGCAACCTGGAGAAACTGCTATTTCTTCTATGTAAAAGGTAAGTGAGATGGCGCAGCTGTGCAGAGTGCCTGCTGCTCACCCAGAACCCACTTCATCACTATCTCCAGCTCCAGAGATCTGATGTCCTCTTCTAGTCTCCCTGGACCCATACACAAATGTGAGTACACTTGGTGACACACATATACATATAAAAATAAATCTTTAAAATAAGAAAAGCAAAAGATCCATGTAGTGATGCATGCCTTTAATCCCAGCACTCAGGAGGAAGAAACAGACAGATAACTATAATCCAAGGCCAGTCTGATCTACATAGAGAGTTCCAGGATAATCAGATCTCAAAAAAGAAAAAAAAAACTTAAAATAAGAAAAGCAGAGAACAATGAATTAATGTATGTTTTAGTGATCAGTTTGCTTTCTCTACTCTTCCATTGTCCAGCATTTCCTTCCCAGGGAATGCTGTCACTCAGTGAGCAAATCTTCCCACCTCAATTAATACAGTCACGTCAATTCTCTATAGATATCACCTTCCCCTAGGTGAGTCTCGATTTTTTTCAAGTTGACAATTAGCACTATATATCATAAAATCCAAACCACAACAGCTGCTATACTTTTTGCTTTGTTTTACAAAACAAGGTATCTCTGTGTAGCCCTGGCTATTCTGAAACTCACACTGTAGGCCAGGCTGATCTTGAACTCGAAGATCTGACTGCCTCTGCCTCCCAGTTGCTGGGATTAAAGGTACGCCACCACCACCTAGCAACATTTTTAATGCTCTCATTAAAGTTATAAATTTTATATAAGGAAGAATAATCAGCAATAATACTGTGAGTATATAGGCCACAAGTCAACAATGAAATAGTCTTGGAAACACAATAGGATTATGGATGCCTGGTGACTGTGTAGAGGCTGAGTTGTTAATATATACGAAAGATAGTGGCCACAAAAATCTCTCTGTAGAATATAAATGCAAAGAAAAAAAAGATGTTTTAAAGGCTGGCAAGAGGGCTCAACAGATAAAGGCATTTTCTGCCAAGCCTGATGACCTGCACTGGAGAAGGGCATCGACTCCCCAAAAGCTGGTCCTCTGTTCATACACAGACACGCAACAACAAATAAATAAAACAAATAATAAATGTTTTATTTATAACTTCAGCACTCAGTCAGGCAGTAATGGTGCACACCTTTAATCCCAGCACTTGGGAGGCAGAGGCAGGTTGATATCTGTGAGTTTGAGGCCAGCCTAGTCTACAGAGCTAGTTCCAGGACAGGTAGGGTTGTAATACAGAGAAACCCTATCTTGAAAAACAAAGTAATAATAATAACAACTTCAGCACTCGAGAAGCTGAGACAGGAGGATTACTGCATGTTTCAGCTACAGTGTGGAATGCTATCTCAAAAAACAAACAAAAAAACCCCCAAATAAATGGGGTTGGGTTCAGTGGTTAAGAACACTGGCTGTTCTTTCAAAGGACCAGGGTTCTATTCCCAGCACCCACATGGTAGCTCACAACTGTCTGTAACTACAGCTCTGGGAATCCAACACCCTCTTCCGACTTCCTTCTCACCAGAAGTCCACAAGGTGCACATAATACACATTAAAAAAATAAAAAACTCAGCCAGGCGGTGGCGGCACACGCCTTTAATCCCAGCACTTGGGAGGCAGAGGCAGGCGGATCTCTGTGAGTTCGAGGCCAACCTGGTCTACAAGAGCTAGTTCCAGGACAGGCTCCAAAGCTGCAGAGAAACCCTGTCTCGAGAAACCAAATAAATACATTACATTAAATTAAAAACTCAAATCAGGGCCAAGGAAATGGCCTGGTAGGGAAACGTACATAATGCATAAGCCTAATGACTTGAGGTCAATGCCCAGAACCTACATAAAAGGTTACATGGTGGGCTGGAGAGATGGCTCAGCGGTTAAGAGCATTGCCTGCTCTTCCAAAGGTCCTGAGTTCAATTCCCGCAACCACATGGTGGCTCACAACCATCTGTAATGAGGTCTGGTGCCCTCTTCTGGCCTGCAGGCATACACACAGACAGAATATTGTATACATAATAAATTAATATTTAAAAAAAAAGGTCACATGGGGTAGTGCATATCTGTAGCCCAGGGAGGCATGGTAGAGGTCACATGTGGTCTATAAACCCAGTACTATGGGGAAATGGGAGGTATGACGGGAGAACATGTGCAGCAGCAGTAACAAAACAGATCCTGCCTCAACAAAATGGAAAACCAACCAACTCCTCAAAGCTGTTTTCTGACCTTCATTTGAGTGCTGTGGCGCGCACGCACGCATGCAAATGAAAAATTCAAACTCAAGTAATTATATTTTCCAAGGTGTAACCATCAAATGAAAAGAGAAAACCCTCTGACATATAACAACAGAATGGTCTGGGTTTGTTGTTTTGTTTTGTTTTTTGAGACAGGGTTTCTCTGTAGCTTTGGAGCCTGTCCTGGAACTTTGCTCTGTTACCAGGCTGGCCTCGAACTCACAGAGGTCCGCCTGCCTCTGCCTCCCGAGTGCTGGGATTAAGGGAGTGCTGGGATTAAGGGCGCGTGCCGTCACCACCACCCGGCCAGAATGGTCTGTTTTAGGGAAATACATTTAGGAGCCCGATAAAAGGTATTGGTGGATCAGACTGCAATGTGAGGAGAGTCGTAGCAACCAATTCACAACTTTACCTTTCACAAAAGGTGGAAATCCCAACGTCGAATTTTCAGCCTCTTCCACCTGCCCCCAAATCATCTTTGAATGAAACAAGGCATGAAAGAAAACAGAATCTTTTTGTAGTGAGTTAAACTCAACTGGACAAATATTTCCTAAATATCTACTATGTGCAAGACATTGTGAAACGTCTGTCTCATTTCAGAGTTCAAAATTATATGAGAAAAGGAAGAACGAGGTTCCCGGAAGTACAGAAAACAACCCAAAGTTGAATAGAAGCGCTCTGGGGAGTGTGTTTCAAAGGCAAGAGTACTTTGGGGACTCAAAAGCCTCAAGAACAGTGGTTTTCGAGACAATGGCCTAAGAAATCGTAGCTAGGGAGATGAAACGTGTGTGTGTGTGAACCGTCGAAGAACCAGGAGAAGCCAAATTCTAGGTGCCCAGCAAACGCCGGTCTCCACGCGCCGCTCCGCGGACAGGCGCAACCTCTCCCGCGCAGGCGCAGGGCTTAAACCCGCGACCCTGTCTCACCTCGGGGGCTTCTGGACTCCTCTTCGGTCAGTTTCCTCGGAGGATGCGAGAAATAATCTCGTCTGGAGAAAGCCCTAGGACCAGACTACCAGCCGTCCTGTCAACCCGCCTCAGGCGACTGCCAGGCCACGTCCCCATGGCAACGCCGCCAAGCGCCAGTTCGAACGCGCGCGCTGACGCCCGCCCGCCCGCAGTCCCGCAGCACCGACCAATGGCCATTCAGGGAGCCTGCTGTCGTTTACCGCCTTCTCCTCTAAAGAGCCAATCAGAGATCCGGAGAGCAGGGGGCGTAACCTTCTTTCTACCAATGGGTCCACTGGAGGAAGATCTCGCGACAGTCCCATCAGAGAACCGTGCCTCGGAGGCGGGTCGGAGCGTCTGGTGCCCAGTTCTGTTGCTCGGCTGAAGGCCAGCCGGGCTCTTCTGATTGGCTAGCGAGCTACGTCTCCGCTTAAGGACCGCCTCCTGCCTCTGCGCTGCGGGTGAGTGCGGCGGTGTTGGGGGCGGAGAACGGGGGGGGGGGGGGGGGGGGGGCAGGGGTGCGGGTGGTGTGCTTTGCTACTGACCCGTGCTGCGCCATCAGAGCTGGCAGTGAGGTGTGTGTAGGACAGGCCCCATCCATTCCCAGGGCCTCGGTTTACCGCTCTGCATCGGAGAAGAAAAGGCCTCAGTGGTTTGTGGTCCGGCGTCGTCCTCTTCTGAGTGGCGATGGTGTGGCTCGGAAGAATCCCAAAGACAGGAAGGCCCGGGTTTGGGATTTAGAGAACCAGTCATCATATTTTCTCCTTCGGCCTCAGTATTGCCTTGTTGTTGTCGATTAAACCCTGCCTGCATTACAAGGGATTATATATAACATGTTTTAACATGTTTTATAATAATATATAAATATAATATATATAATAATTTATTATTATATATAATATATAATAATATAATAATATATTATTTATAATAATAATTATAAATATACGTGTATATATATAATATGTATATTATATATATATATATAATATGCGTGTGTGTGCACTCGCGCGCGCCTTCCTGCCTGCCTGAATTTATGTGCACCAAGTGCATGCACGTCCCTCGGAGGCCAGAAGGCGTCAGATCCCAGAAGCCGGAGTTAAAGGCAGTTGTGAGCCACCCAAGTGTAGGTTCTTAAGAACCGAACCCCAGTCCATTGGAAGAGTAGCAGGTACTTTTAACCATTAAGCTGTCTCTCCACGCCCCCCAAAGATTTTTTATTTTCTTTTTCAAGTGTTCATTGAATGAAGGCTGAGACAGTTATAATAAAGTCACAAGATTCCCATCCTAAGGAAAATAAAAAGCGAAACAGCTTAAATTGAGAACAGTCAAGTTGTCAAACGCAAAATGTTTAATGTCCAGTGGGTATTACGATTAATGATGTTAGAAGTTTGGCATGCCTGCGTTTGAAAAACTACCCAAAGTATTTCCGGACCGTAGTTTTTTTCCTTTTCTGAAAAACGGTAGCATGGCCTCCCCAGTTTGCGAGGAAGACTGAGTGAAGAAATAACGGTAAAGCAGCACAGTGCCTGGCAGGTTAGCTTCTCGGTTTAAAAGGCACTGCCGTTATTAAGAACAAATACACTAGCCAGCATGTATGCAGCACCATGTGTATTTTAATCGAGTGCTCATTTTAGCTCAAAAATCATCAGTTCAGGGAAGCTGGAGAAGGAATAGTGCAGCCCTTCCTCGCTCTTGTAGACCAGGCTGGCCTCAAACTCACAGAGATTCCTCCTGCCTCTGCCTCCCGAGTGCTGGGATTAAAGATGTGCCCCATCACTGCCTGACTGAAAAAAAAAAAAGATTTACTTGGCTTACTCTTCCACATCACTGTTGATCAATGAAGGAAGTCAGGACAGGAATGCAAACAGAACTGGAGTCTGGAGAGAGGAGCTGATGCGGAGGCGGTGAAGGAGTGCTGCTTACTGGCTTGCTCCTTGTGGGCGGGTCAGCCTGCTTTCTTAGGAAATCCAGGACCACCAGTGCAGGGGATGACCCCACCCACAGTGGGCTGGGCACTTCCCCGTCAGTGACTAGAAAATGCCCTACACCTTGCCTTCATCTTACAGAAGCATTTTCTCAACTGAGCTCTCTCCTCTCCAGTGAGTCTAGTTTGTTTGAAGTTGACATAAACTAGTCAAGACATGGATTGTCAAAGTACCTATGAGGAAAACAATTCTTTTTCTCATAAAAAAAGTGTCCAGTTTAGGAAATGAAGAATGGAATGAGATATTACTGAACCTTAGACCTGGTTTCCACTTACCTTGTGGACAGTCTATAGCACTTCAAATTCAACTCGATTCAAAAGGAAATCCATCCAGTTACTCAAGCCGAACACCTCTTCCAGTTCCCTTGAACTTATGCAGTCTCTCAGACAGACAATGAGATATCAACCTGTCAGTGTTAGTTACTTCAGACATCGCATACGCCCCTTCTCCTTTCTCATAGGCTCACTCTCAATCTAGTTTCCTGCCGTTTGCAAGCTGCTGAAATAAGCTGACAACAACAGGTCTCTTTGCCTGCAATTTTTTCTTCCAGTTTGTTCTCCACCTTGCTTACTGCCAAAGTGCTTTTGTAAAATGTCAATCTGACAAAAATACACTTTACCTAAAACCAGTAGTCCTTATTGTCTACAGGATATAAATTAAGCCAGACTTGGTGGCATGCCTTTAATACCATCACTCCAGAGGCAGAAGCAGACGAAGGATCACTGAGTTTGAAGTTAGCCTCGTTTACATAGAGAGTTCAGGGTCAGCAGAAGTCATATAGTGAGATCCTGTCTGAAATAAAGAAATACATAAACTATTAAAAAAAAAAACAATGTAAGCTAAGCTGCTTACCAATGGAACGCTATTCTGTGTGTGAGGTCTTTATGATGGTGCTCCAGACGGGGCTTAGTCTGGACGTGAAGTATGCTGTACGAGTATGAGGACCTAAGTTTGACCATAACACTCAGGTGAAAAACACATGCACACATGCACATCCTTACGAGGTACTCTTTTGACCTAAAGTTTTTTTTCACTGTCTTTTTTCCCCTCCCATACCCAGACAGGGTTTCTGTGTATAGCCCTGGCTGTTCTGGAACTCACTCTGTATATCAGGCTGGCCTTGAACTCAAAGAGATCCACCTTCCTCTGCCTCCCAAGTGCTGGGATTAAAGAAAGGCACGCAACACCGTGCCTAGCCTATATTTCTTTTATTTGTTTATTTTTTTTTTGCAGGGAGGGATGGTTTAAAGACAGGGTTTCTCTGTGTAGCCTGGCTGTCCTGGAACTCTGTGGACCAGGCTGACCTTGAACTCAGAAATCTGCCTTCCTCTGCCTCCTCCAAGTGCTGGGAGTAAAGGCATGCACTATCACTGCCTGGCCAGCCTGTCTTTCTGTCTTACAGACATCCTTATGATGTATGCAACACTTTGTAACATCTGTCTGAACGCCGTTTGCTTTCACTGAACTGTGAACCTCTGGAACATGAGAGATTTGTAGTGTTCAGTTTTACATTCACCCTTCTGTCCAGCCGTAGAGAACACGTTCAGCAGGCCTCTGTAGGCGCCAGTATCAGAATCACTTAGGTTTCCTTCCCATAGCTGAACAGCAGGTGGCACCAAAAGGCCACATAACAAAATTTCCCTAAGAAACATTTTTGTTCCAACCTTGTCTGACTTTGCCCTGATCCTAGAAGCCTGTGTGTCACTGCAGGTAAAACTCTCCTGTTTTCTCCCTCAGCCAAATAGCCAAGTTTGCAAGGTGATTCAGCAGCTTGATCTCCCAGAGAGGAAGCAGAGGCCTAGAGAAAGGTACAGTTGGGGGAGCATTTTCTTTGTTTCTAATATTTTCATATAACTAGGATTTTTTCTCTCTTTTTTCTTTTCTTCCTTCTGTTATTATTACAAGAAAACTTTATCTGGACATATGCTTCATTCTTCCTCCAAGAACAAAGAAGGAAGTAGTAGAGGAGGCCGTAGGCAAGGAGTCCCGTGGAGCTGCTGGGGAGCAAGCAGAGTTGCTGTTCCTCTTCACAGGCATGTGCAAATTTTCTAGACACCAGATTTAGGCAAAACCCTGTGGTTTTAGGTTCCTATTTGTTAGAAAACAGCAGTGAAGTCAAGGACACCCTTGTCAAATCGGACTTTTAGGAGCCTCAGGAGACACTTTCCCCACCTAAGTTGGCTTTGGTTACTTCCATCCTCCCTGCCTAAAACCTGTTTTGTGGAAAAGTTTCAGCCAGACATCCTAAACAGTCTCCAGATGAGTCCAGATTAAAGACAAAGGAGTTTTAAAACTGGTGGTGATTTTATTAATCACTTGTGCATGTTCTCGGAGCCATGTGTACCTTTAACCCTATTTCATGATAAGCAGAGCTGTTAAAAAAAAATTACAGGCTTTGGAGTTAGATTTCTCTGGATTCAAATCATATTACCAGCCATTTATGCCACTGGGCAAGTATTTTAATCTTTATTTTACTTTTTGAGACAGGATTTATGTGGTCCAGAAAGACCTCAAGTTTATATGTAGTGAAAGCTGGCCTTGATATCCTAATACTGCTGCCTCTCTGCCTAATACTGAGGCTACCGGTGCAAGGTGTGTGACACTAAGCCTGGCTTACTCTTTCTTAAGATCTCAACTTTAGAAAGGCACATTAGTGCAGGCCTTCATCTTCATTCGGAAGGCAGAGAGGTCTCTGAATACAAGACCAGCTTGGTCTACATTTCTCCATCTGAGCTATACAGTGAGACCCTGTCTTAAAAATCTGTTTCCTTATAAACTAAACGTAAGTCTTAAATGATCATCCTTTTCTGGGCAGTGGTGGCACCCTCCTCTAATCCCAATGCTTAGTGGGCAGAGGATGGATCTCCAAGTTCGAGGCCAGCCTGGTCTATAAAGTAAGTTCCAGGACAGCCAGTGTTACTCAGAGAAACGAAACAAAAAAGAAAAGAAAAGAAGAGAAAAGAAAAGAAAAGGATCCTCCTTTGAACTTGTTTGTTTGAGACAAGATCTGTAACACAAGTTCAGTCTCCTGAATGCTAGGATTACAGGCATGTGCCACCATGCCTGGGCTTACAGGGTTGCCGTATAGCAACTTTAGTAGTCAAAAACTGCACAGTATAGGTGACACAGTCTTGATGCCGGACAGCATAGTGGCTGGAAACACTGGTTTAA